AAATTATTCATTTGAAAATCCTCAATAAAAGCATTTCTATCAGATCTTTTTAGCACTCTGAAGGAGTTGACGTTGTACAAGTCTGACGGAGTTTATGTTTTATGGAGTTGACAAAAAAATCATTTTTCTTCTTCATCCAAGTGCAATACACAGTAGCAGTTCTAAAACCTAATTAAATGTAACCTAAATTCATATTCTACCATAATCTATCAGGCAGATGGAGTTGACTTTATGGTTGTGACCATGGTGATTCTAATATTGTTTGTTTAAATCTATCAAAAGTAGAAAGCTTTACAGACCATGAGTGGTCTTGTTGCACTACATGTAATGATTACATGAATAAGGGGTCCTTATGGTATAGCTGACCCTGCTCATTCCTGATTAATTTAGGATTTTAGACAAATCTGACAGAGTTAACTAAATCTCCGGACACATCTTTTAGGAATCACAGTTTTGAGAGAAATATTATTTAAAGTCAGAGGGCTATTGCAAGAAAATACATAAGATAAAAAAACATTTACTTAATACCCATTATTGCAAATTTTGGGGGAGAGTTTGAAATTGGAATCCTTTGCTCCGGACAAGGGCATATCCAGGCATACAGCCGACATGAAATTGAATAATATTGAAAGTATTTTAAAAAGTCCAAAAACAAATATATATTTTTCTTATAAAATTCCCCTAAAAGTACAAATTTTACGTGAAAATATGCACAAAAAAATAAAGAAATCAACTATTAAAATAACGTTTCCCTGACGGACAAGGATTGTCCCGACGTTCAAGAATCCCAGAGCTAATTTGCTGCTGTTCTTCACATTTTGCCATGACGCTGATAGAACATGTAGCAGTTTTAAAGCTAATTTCCCGTAATTAGAAAAAAAAAATTATGACGTGTTCATATGCTTTCTGGGGGGCCGACCTCCAGGGGGACCCCAACCCTGCGGGGGTGTGTGCTATGGCAGTGGTAATACCCCTGGGCTTAGAGATGTTTTTCCACATGCAACACAAATACATAAAACACACAAACCAATGGGAATTCCCACCAAGTCCCTCATTCACTGTATCAATGTGTCACCAACCAACCCTCTCTAGACGCAATAACAGTATGCTGTTATTGGAAGGATTAAGCCATTTCAACAGAGAACTGAACTTAAAAACACAAAGGGTTTGGGCAATGGGAGGAAATACTCTTGAATGACCTTTGTTACTATAGCATGGGTTGACAAGAGGCAGATTTGTGTCTATACTTTTAAAGAAATATAGCTATATATCCTAATCCTCTACCTTTATGTCCTGAGCAGAGAGGTGAGCCAAGGTGCTAAAGATATAACTTTGGCCTGTTATGTCAGAATAAGTTTCTACCACAACAGGATCCACTCCGCACACAGCTTGCCTGCCTGGGGGAGAGATGACAGAAACCATACAGCCCAGGCAGCAGGATATAGCAGCAACAGGAGAAGATGGAGAGGAGAAAGGTACAGATCCTGTTTGGCTGACAGTCTGAACTCTGGATGTATGAGACAAGTTGGGGGATAGGTAGGTGGGGGGGAGGGGTACTGGGTTGTGAACTTAGTAGCCATTCCTTATCCATTGCATTTATGGAACCAAACGGGTCCTTCAATTTGTGAGTCTTGAGTCTTCACTGCTGTTGGAACAAAGAGATGGCAGGGCTATATAAGGAAGCGGTTTTCAAAATCAACACCGACAGCCCTTGTTCATTTGCCTTGCTCTGAATTAGCTCTCTTACCAGCCTAGCGCTTCAGCTGTCTTGCACAACCACCAGTGTGTTCCAAAGATATAAGAAAAGTAGAAAGGAGAATTGCATCATTTCTTGCAGCCAGTCAGACCAATTACAGCTGAAGAATGTAGGGAGAGAAAAAGGGAGTAAAAACACAAACAGGGAGCACAAAATAGTTAACGACATAATTAGCTGGACGGCGATTCAGCAGGAAAACAACAGGGTCTCAGCTAGGAAACGACAGTCATGGATGCTGGAATGGCTACAGCACCTTCATCCCTCTACTGGTTTGAGTCACCACATTAAATCACCCCGCTTTCAACCATCTACACATCACACAGATAGTGAGCCTGTTAGCCATTCAAATTAAATATAGCCTTGCCTCCGACATAGCTTGCCTGTTTTGGTCATACTTGTTTGAAAAGACTGAAAAGATCTACCGTCTACAGTCTGCTGTGTCTATGTCTGCAAAGTATCAACAATAGGAAATTATGTTTATACGTCATGAACACAGTGCAGACATTTCACAACTGGTGTCAATTACAAAACACTAATTTGTTCTGGTGGAAATGAAGATATGAATAGTGGAGCTGAGAGCTAACATAGATAACACTCGAGTTGAGAAGGCGATGGAGAAAGGGTCTTGCCAGATGAAGCACGTCCAAATGGTACCCTATTTCCCTTCATAGTGCACTACTTATAGGGAATAGGGTGTCATTTGGGATGATTGTATAAGTGTGTGGGGAATATCGTTTTCCACAGACACAGGCAGCTTTGGACACATCAACAGGAAAGAGTCAGGATGTGAGGCTTGGTAATTAGGAGGGTGGGTGTGGACACCAGATCCTGCTCAGGGACATACTTCACCTTTTATCTGTAGGCCAGGCCTACCCCTTTAAAGTATTTAATATGCAATCTGGGCACAATTAAAAGAGTGGGTGTGAGGTGTTCTGTTGAACATGTTGCTGTACCAGACTTAATACACAACATTATTTAATACATCTTCAATACACATCAGTACTTTATTACATTAGGTTGTTACTATTTCGGTGTACTTTTATTCTTAAAACCTTTTGCCAAGTTGAAAGATGATCAACAAAACCTAGCTCTTATTGGGAATGGTATCTGGAGGTGAATTTGGCCAAAGCTCTGTCACACAGACATACTGCAGGTCCAACATCCCCTCCACAGGAACCCAGCAACCAGAGTAGATTATTACGCTATCTCCACAAATCTTCTCCTCTTCCTGCTTAGACAAGGGAAAGGGGACAACTGGCCTAGAACATTACACACCTATTCTGTGTCAGAACATATAAACAGTGTGACAAAGACTTACTCCAGACCAGCCACGCAACCTTTCTTACAGTACTTGTCGAGTCCATTTAAAACAGCTATCTATTTTACTCCAGCAAGGAAATTGATTATCCAGATGCAGGGCAGCATTATACTTTCTAATTGTAAAGCTGGCAATCTAACTCTACTTGGAAGACATCTGCTTGTCTCTGCAAAACCAGGTGTTTTAGGCCTCAATGAAAACACCTTATCCCCAATATAGTGCACTACTTTTGACCAGGGCACTATATAGGGATCAGGATGCCATTTGGGAGGCACACTCAGAATATAGTCTCTTTTTGGATCTCCCAATTTACAGTGAATTGGTCAGTCTCAATAAAAGAGAAGAGGATTCATTCCATTCTCTGTGCATTAAAATGTTCACACCTGCATATGACAAAGCATGACACACACAGTAGTGCTCCACTTGATTCAGTTCTCCCTTTTTTATTATGTGAAATAGTTTTTTTTTATATAAACATATAAAACAAATCTTGGAAGATCCATTAAATACAGCATATCTGTACATGGGTTTTTGTACACAGGTTTTCTGCAGAGCTTAGCGTGTTTCTAGATTAACTTCACAAGCATTAGTAGCTTGGCTTTGGAAGAGGAGGGTGGAGGGTCACCCAGACAAGAGAAAATAAGTTGAGCAGCAAGAAGGGGGTTATCACACTTTAAAGGCTATTTATCAGACTCTTAAAGTGCCCTTCAAAATTGTATTTCCTCGACTAACTTCAGTTCAGGAACACTGGGTTCTTTCACAGTTAACAGATTCAGCATTGCGTGCGTAGTTAAGACAAAATGCGTGTTTGTTTGCATACACCATCTGACTTCCTGTCGAAGAGCCTGTGTGAAACTCAAACATCCATAAGGTAGGAGAGACTAGGGAGCAACGAAGAGTCTCTTTCACTAATCCAGAGACCTAGAAAAGAAGCTCCAGATCATATGGTACTTTCCTGTACTGTCCTTTATCCTACTTCCTTCTGTGTTACAGTGCGATGCACATACATGAACAAAACTTGGTTGTGCTTCCTAAAGAGAACTATTATTATTCCACATAAGACACACTGTTGTGCTCATGTGTGGAAGGAAGGTCATCTTGCTTGGATACTGTCTGCATGCTTGCACTCATCTAGAGATGAACGAGACATGCCCCTTATTCAAAACAACCAGCCACTGCCATTCTTGAAGTCTCTAGAAATGTGGGTTCAATTAGAGGCGGGGAGAATTCTTAAATGATTGTATGCATGAAAGACGCTTAACAATGAATGCCATTTCTTTTTTCCCTTTTTTCTTCAGGAGCCGCTTACAGGAGAATTGGTGGGGGAAATTAACTGGTAACACATTTCTTTCGATTCCGCCGCAGTCCTCTCTCGTTTTACCAAGTCGTGAGGTAAACAGAACTTAGCAAGACACAGACCTAAGTCATAATGCACACCAAATCAACACCCCCCACCCCCAAACAACAGACCTCAGGAAGAGGTGAAGGACTAAAACATAGAAAATACAAATTAAAACAAAGCATAAATAAATTAGCAAAAAAAAACAATTGGGAAAACAATTTTTTTTAGTATTTTTTTTTACAAACAAATCTAAGGGCACTTCTAGCATCTAGCTTGAGGGTGCTTCTCTAAAGCTTGTGTCTTTGTCAGCACCAGAGGTAGGAGGTGAAAACACCAAACTTCCGAAAACTGATATTCCTCCATTCCAGTGGAAATCTTGCCAAAACACAAAAAGGGATTTCAAACCCTCAAAAACAACATTTAGGTGAAAACAGAATACTAAGCGCTGCCCTTTCAATTCTCCAAGCTCAGGTACATTGTTTTCTCTCTATGCAGATCTCGGATGTATACAATAACATAGGCATACACACTTCCCTGGGTGCTTTAACATATATGCCTGTCCCCACACATAGTTCAAACATCACCTATACGGCGAGGTAGTGCATGGAAAGATCATCATAGCGTATCTATGAGTACGAATGGCAGGCAAGAGCAGAGCTTTAACTCCTCTAAAAGGTCAAGGAGCTGTCATTCCCCCACTGAGAAAAACCCTAAACAATGGCTGTGAGAAGAGAACCAACCCACTGAGCAGCCTCTCGCTCTCCCTTCATGAAAAGTCAGAAAATACAAAACAAGGCAACTCGAGACAGACACCCCAGTGCCCCCTCCCTGGAGCTCCATAGAAAAATCTGTCAAGCACTGGTTCTCAACATTGGGTGGGTGGGTGCAAAGACCACAGTAGGAGCCTGGCAGGCAGGCACCAGGGGTGCTGGGTCTCCACTCCAGACCCCCTCCCCTCCCTCTCAGGTCTCTCCCCCAGTCCAGGAAAGAACTGGAGGCACTAGATGTAGTCATCGTCCACAGGTTCACCCCGTACGTCACAGTAGTGGATGAAAACCACCACCACACGCTGGAAGACCCCGCGCCGCGTCTGGCGCCGCTCCGAGATCTCCTCACCGATGGTCTCCATGCAGATGTCTGCCGAGAGCTGGCCCTTCCTCCGCGGGGCGTAGATGGTGGCTGCAGGAGAGACACAGGAGGAGAGAATGGTTGGTACCATAGCAATAGAATGAGTAGAACGAACTAGAAACCTCTCACCATGGCAATTTGACTGGTAAACTCATGGGTATACTCAAAACGGCTGCCAGTCCACCCATTACGGCATTATTGAATGGGGACACCCGTTCTATTTATTCTAATTTTGTGGTTAGTACCTTATGATTGATAAGAACAGACTCAACAGTGCTACCTAGCAGGTACATATACAGGAAGTAGGCCCTAAAAAGTCCCCAAAAGTGCATTCCATTCTATTCATGTGAATGGCTCAAGAGACAGCGATACAGATCACAGTTCTCATATAACACAACTGACAATGATCCTAGAAATAGGGGAGCAGCTTTGCTATTCACTGTGGCCAGGTTGAGCTCCTGTGTACGGCAGTTAGGTAAAGATGGTGACTACTGGACAGGGTGACGGTCACTCACTGCTCTCATCATCTTCAAAGTCATAGCGTGCGTAGCTGTTGGGATCAGCTGTCCGTAGGGTACGGAGCCAGGGAAAGTCTGTGATCATGGAGTAGGGCGCTTCATCTACCACTCCTACAGACAGCACAGAGACAGAGACAGAGAGAGAGAGACAGACAAGACATCAGAACAGGGCATAGCAGCAGTAGCTACCACCCCAAAATTCTAAGGGACAAGTGAAGGAACACAATGTAGGTCTTGAATCATGAAAACCAGAGGTGGACAACGAATGAAGCATGGAAAAACACTAAAGCTGGGTGTACACTACCCGATTTTGGCCTGATTTAGCGGTCCCAGACACGTTTTTGAGATCGGAGACAAAATCACTGTGTTGTTGCCTACTCGGACCGCGCGGCCTTCGCTCGTTTAATGTGAGTGGGTCGGAGACGCAATTTGAGGGCTACCGATCCCTTCTTTGAGCAGTCCCAGACGTCCCGATATTTTCAAATGTTTCATTTTATCTGCATAAAATATGCAACGCTCTTGTAGTGTGAGATATGCAATGACAAGATTTGAAAACGTTGATCAGGAATAGCCAATGAGAGCTCTCCAGAGAAGGAGCCAGTGAGATGATCAAAATAATCAAAAGATGTTCACAGGAAATAGAATCCCACAGCTGGCCTTTATTGGACTGGAGAGATCCCAGTAGACCAGCACTATTCACATGGTTTATTAATAGAACTGATGTAGAATAGAGTGACTCTAGAGAAGGATGTAGCTATGCTGTGAAGAGACCGAGACCCAGTCTCAGAGGGTTTTAGATGGGACTTCCTCTCACCCTCCAAGGTGTAGATGTCTCGGCCCCAGGGGTAGCTGGGATACTGCTTGACATCCTCTTCCGTCCGCGTAGCTTCAGGGAAGAACTCATACTTGATGAGCTCCCTGTTGATTAAATGAAAGAGGTTATTTATGTTGGGTTTTTAGATGGAGGAAGGAAGGAAAATGGCATTGGTCCTTGATCACCATCCCAACAGTCCAGTCCAGTATGGCTGAGTGAGGTCAGTAGAGCATCAACAGCGCCACCTGCTGGCTGTAGTGAGAACACCAGGGCCATGATAAAGGACTGCCATCTATTGGAGGAAACAGACTGACAGCAACCCACTAAATATTCTACTGGATTACATAGGAAAACAGTTGGAAATTGAAACATCTATCCAGATCCATAAAAAAATAACTCGGAAAAGCTCAGAAAAGAGAGCTATTAAAAGGGATTATATAGCAGTATGTGTGACTCACTGGCTGATGTTGGCGATGGTGTCCATCCAGCTGCGTACTCTGACCTTGTTCCTGACATTAGGAGGGTTGCTGAACTCGTGGATGATGGCGATGTGGTAGGGGTACGGCCCACGGAACAGCTTCCTCTCCAGGGCCAGAGAGTCAATCTACGACAAGGGAAAATGTCAGAGTAGGGCAAGGTTTACAAACCATATCATGCAAACAGGGGGTACGTCTGCTAGGATTTAATGAGAAATCATGCTCACATTTCCTGTGCAAGTCATTTCTATTGCGCAGAATAACTGTAGTAAGACATATCTGAACTAGGCTCAATGTTTTTAATCCAGTGTAAATTTCATTTGGGATTTGGGAACTGTAACAGGTTCCAGACAGGACGTCTGTGGTTCTGACTGACCTGCTGCATGGGGCGCATGTAGATGATGCGGTTTCTCTCCGGGGGCATGCGGAGGATCTGATCCAGGACCTGCTCCATGTCCAGCTTCTTACACTGGGCGTAGTCAAAGCGGTTCACTATGGGGGCACTCTCCACCTTCAGGTGCTTCAGCACTCTGCAGCGCGTGGCTGCAGGGACACACAGAGAGGGACGGCAGAGGGACATTTAAAGGGCCAAATAGGGCCATTTGGGACTTAGCCTTCGTATGACAGAATGGCCCACATTATCAAGTCTTGATCATATATGGAGGGAGACTATAAAAGGGAAACCTACCATGAACAAACATCATCTTGGGGCAGTCCTTCAGCACTAGGTCAGTAATGCCACAGTTTGTAAGGGTGATTCCCACCAGGTTTTTGGACTTCAGCGTCAGCACCTGGATGGCAATAGGGAAGGATAAACAAAGGAAGGATGCTCCATTCAATAGAGAGTTAGTCCTTAATTTGACCATGTATAGCTTCGTTCCAAAATGGCACTCTGGCCTATTTCCTGGTGCACAATCTTTTTCTGTGCTGCTTTGCTCAGGAACATTGGGTCTCTTCCCAGTGTGTGTAGTGGTCCTACCTGTACATGGTCGTCCTCTGTGACCGGGTCGCTGGTGCTGGTGGACTTGTCTGCTGTGCGTTTCCTCTTCACCGTGACCCGAGGCTTGGAATTGGACAGCTCTGCATGACAAAACAACAGGATCTCTATGAGAAACTCACATTTTTCACAGGCTTTCCTACACTATCAATGCCATTATAAGATGGCCTACATTTCAAATGATCAGCATTACAATGTGTTTCATGCTCTGACAGAGAGGGATCGCTTATCCCCAGTCTTACCTGACTCAGACACCAGGGGTACAGATGACAGTCTGCTGCGGGCGCGGGTGACAGGTCGCCTGGGGAAGCCGTCTCTTAACCCTCTGGGCTGGAGCTCTACGCTGGCCTCCCTGGAGCTCTGACCCGATGTCTTCTCACCACGGTGCCCATCAGGCACTACCCTCGCTGGGCTCTCCTCAGCAGGGTCCCTGGCCTCCAGCCCCTCTGCGCCTGCGCCCTCCCCCAGATCCTGCCTCCTCTCTGGGGTCCTGTCCCCTCCTCCTGCCCCTCCAGAGGCTGGGTGGTTGGGCCCACCTCGAGTCCTTCCCTCTGGGCCGGGGCGAGCCCTATTGCAGGTGCAGCGAGTCCTGACTGTCCCCTCGTCCCCTGCCCGGGCTCTGGCCTGTTCCTCCTGGTTAGCGGAGTCTTCTCTCCAGTGGATGGAGCAGACACAGCCCCCCGTGGTGCAGCCTGCGCCCCCAGCAGCCCCTGTCCCTGCAGCAGGCTCCTTGGAGCTCTTGTCTTCGTCAGGGACCTCAGTGGCAGCCTTCATGTCAGCTTTGATCTGCTCACTGGTGACCTGGCAACCCTTCTCACAGCTGGGCTCCTGTAGGGGTGGCCCTCGTCGACGCAGGGGCGTCTTCCCTTTATCTGCAACACACAAACACAGCACAGAACTGACAACACACAGACTAGGTGTGATAATAAAATGCAAATATAAGCCTTGGAAGCCATTTCGAGAAAATAGATAGAAAATAACTTTTCATCGTCAACATTCAGGCTCTTACGGTCTCTTACAATCAATCATAATTGAAAGATATTTTTGATGTGAGGAGTAGGGATGAGCATTTGAAAAGATTTCACTATTTTCGGATATCCGGATAGTCCAAAAAAAGTATTATTGCTCGACGGATCAGAATGACGCAATTGTAGAGGGCACAACAGTGGACAGGATGCTATTCTCCTGTATTTGTAGCTAACAGCAACAGTGAAAGAGAAGTCTGATGCTCGCCATGATAGAACAGATTCGGTTTCAATCATGTTTTCTAGTGAGTGTTTTGCATTGATCTGTGCCAGGTCTTGTGGAACCTCCCTTAGGTGCGCCTGTCATCGCAAATTGAAGAGGGGAAAATAGAATACCGTTGTCAGGGCTGATTGGAGGGCTAAATGCACAGCAGTAGCTCAACGCACTGTCATAACTACATTTAAAAGTTTGTGTTATTCAATTAAGAATTTAAAATGTAATGGTATGTCCTTGTATGTAACAATGTCACACCGATAATTTAATTTAGACAAAGCTTTCACATTGTTAATATTGGCCGAAAACATAAGTTAAAAAACACTACCGTCAGTTCGCATATCTCGAATAACCGTGCCCATCCCTACATTTGAGAGACTCACTAGTGTGTGTGGCTGCCTCCTCAGCAGTGGCAGTCTTGCCCGTGGGCTGTGGTGGTTCAGGAGGATAGGTGGTGTGTTGTTGCTGCTGCTGGGGCCGGCCTGGAGCCTGGGGTCTGGCAGGGCCCTCCTCATCCTCACTGTCCGAATCAAAAATCACCACTGGAGGCTTCTTCACCACACACTGAACACCACTGGGACCTACAGGGGGGTAAGACGGAGAGAGAGAGAGGATGCAGTGGAGAAAAAGAGAAATAAATAGCGGGGGAGCGAGATAGAGGAAAACAGACAGAGGAGAAAGAGAGAAAATAGTGAGAAGATGGAAAGAAAGAGACATAAAAATGAAAAAAGTCTGTTTTCATGCAAATTCGCTGAAATATGTGCCACTGTATTGGAGTTAGTTCTGTCCAGACCTGCTTGCTCCTCGTCTGCGTTGTCTGGCCGAGGGTTGGCAGCAGGCTGACTGGGTCCAGGACCAGAGGGTTCCATCTCGTCTGCAGGCCAGGCCTGGACCACTGCCTCAGCCTCGATGTTCTCATCCTGCAACATCCCGTTCACCTCAGGAAGATCTGGAGGAGAGAAACAGTCTTAAGGTCACGAGATTGTACACTAGCGGTACATTACGCAGCTAAGATCCCCATGACAGCAATAGTAGCAGTGTTGTAGGAATGTTAAAACGATGTCATTACAACTTTCGAACAATTATGTAGCAATGTTATAACACTGTCATGTAGTAACGTAACAATGCGAGCAGCAGCGTACCCTCGGCCCTGTGTTGTGGTTGAGGCACGACAGCAGCACCCTCCTCGTTGTCATTGTTGTGCGGTGGGATGTTGGGTGCATCGTTGTTGTTGTTCTGGTGGTTGTTGTTGTTGTTGTTATTGTCGTTGTCATTGTTGGAGTTCTGGTTGCTGACCAGGGCAGAGGAGACTCCTATCCCAGTGCCAGCACTCAGACCCACTCGGGCGCAGCCCTGAGGGAGAAAGAGGGAACACACTAAATGTATTGGGTAAAGTGTTATGAAATGTTATGTCATGTAATGTTTACAATTTTATGTAACTGCCTTAATGTTGCTGGACCCTAGGAAGAGTAGTAATGGGGATCCTTAATAAATACAAATACAAAAAAAGATCAAAGACCATCATGACCTCTAACAGGGACCATCAACTAGATTCAGCCACAGGCCGATTTTTTTCTTGAGTGGATGGTCAGGGGGAACATAATTACAAATAATTTGTAGACTGCAAATTGACCACAAGAAGCCCAAACAGATATCCCCTAAAACATAATAATTTCAAACCTTGTTTACATTTGTATATACGATCACATAAACTGAGTGTACAAAACATTAGGAACACCTTCCTAATATTGAGTTGCACCCCGTTTTGCCCTCAGAACAGCCTCAATTCGTCAGGGTATGGACTCTACAAGGTGTCGAAAGCGTTTCACAGGGATGCTGGCCCATGTTGACTCCAATGCATCCCACAGTTGTGTCAAGTTGGCTAGATGTCCTTTGGGTGGTGGACCATTCTTGATACACACGAGAAACCGTTGAGCGTGAAAAACCCAGCAGAGATGCAGTTTTTGACATACTCAAACCGGTGTGCTTGGCACCTACTACCATACCCTGTTCAAAGGCACTTAAATATTTTGTCTTGCCCATTCACCCTCTGAATGGCACACACACACACACACAATCCATGTCTCAATTGTCTCAAGGCTTCTTTAACCCATCTCCTCCCCTTCATCTACAACGATTGAAGTGGATTTACAAGTCACATCAATAAGGGATCATAGCTTTCACCTGGATAGTCTGTCATGGAAAGAGCAGGTGTTCCTAATGTTTTGTGCACTCAGTGTATATCGCTTTATTATGCGTGGGAATACTTTGGAACAGATTTCCAAAATAAAAATCACTAGTAGAATACACAAGGTGCGATTTCGAAATTTGGTTTTGCATCAGAAGTTTTGTTATGTCAGTCACTTACAGTGCATTCGGAAAGTATTCAGAGCCCTTTACTTTTTCCACATTTTGTTACATTACAGCCTTATTCTAACATGGATTAAATGTTTTTTTTCCCCCTCATCAATCAACACACAATACCTCAGTGACAATGCAAAAACAGGTTTTTAAAATTTGTGCAAATGGCTGTGTGCTTAGGGTTGCTGTCCTGTTGGAAGGTGAACCTTCACCTCAGTCTGAGGTCCTGAGCGCTCTGGAACAGGTTTTCATCAAGGATCTCTCTGTACTTTCCCTTGATCCTGACTAGTCTCCCAGTCCCTGCCGCTGAAAAACATCCCCACAGCATGATGCTGCCGCCACCATGCTTCACCGTAGGGATGGTGCCAGGTTTCCTCCAGACGTGAAGCTTGGCATTCAGGCCAAAGAATCTTGGTTTCATCAGACCAGAGAATCTTGTTTCTCATGGTCTGAGAGTCCTTTAGGTGCTTTTTGGCAAAGTCCAAGCGGGCTGTCATGTGCCTTTTACCGAGGAGTAGCTTCCGTCTGGCACTACCATAAAGGCCTGATTGGTAGAGTGCTGCAGAGATGGTTGTCCTTCTGGAAGGTTCTACCATCTCCACAGAGGAACTCTGGAGCTCTGTCAGAGTGACCATCGGGTTCTTGGTCACCTCCATGACCAAGGCCCTTGTCCCCCGATTGCTCAGTTTGGCCGGGCGGCCAGCTCTAGAAAGAGTCTTGGTGGTTCCAAACGTCTTCCATTTAAGAATGATGGAGGCCACTGTGTTCTTGGGTACCTTCAATGCTGCAGATATTTTTGGTACCCTTCCCCAGATCTGTGCCTCGACACAATCCTGTCTCAGAGCTCTACGGACAATTCCTTCGACCTCATGGCTTGGTTTTTGCTTTGACATGACCTGTCAACTGTGGGACCTTATATAGACAGGTGTGTGCCTTTCCAAATCATGTCCAATCAATTGAATTTACCAGAGGTGGAGTCCAATCAAGTTGTAGAAACATCTCAAGGATGATCAATGGAAACAGGATGCACCTGAGCTCAATTTCGATTCTCATAGCAAAGGGTCTGAATACTTATGTAAATAAGGTATCTGTTATTTATTTTTGTATAAATTAGCCAAAATTTCTAAAAACCTGTTTTTGCTTTGTCATTATGGGGTATTGTGTGTAGATTGATGAGGAAAATATTTAATTTAATCCATTATAGAATAAGGCTGTAACATAACAAAATGTGGAAAAGGTCAAGGGGTCTGAATCCTTTCCGAATGCACTGTATAGACAGTTATTAGCCCATGTCAGCAAAAATGTTTTTAGATTGTTAAATTAGTTTAGCGGCCAGCTATCTAAACTTGTTATCATGGTGGAATTACTTGCCGGGTGCCCCCACTGATTCTGTTAGTCAGTCTCACATAGATATCATATTAAAAACGGCAAACATTTATCTACAACCTATGGCAAAATGTGTAGAATTGCAGTACATTAGCTGTAAAACGTAAACATTTTCTCTCCGCTAGCATGAGGGGGGCCACAAAAATGTTTTACTCGTAATGTGGGGGGGGGGGGGGGGGGGATATGGGTACGTAGACCCATGAGCAACATGAGTTCAGATTTTGGGTGGCCCCCACCCCCATTAAAGTTGCCCATCCCTGGTATATGCTGTATGGTGTTGCCCAGTGCAGTTGACTTACCTTGGGTGGCTCTCTGAACATCTGGTCCAGGGAGATGAACTCCAGGCTGGGAAGCAGCTCAATGAACTGGCTGAACGACTCCAGCTTGATGGCATGGCAACGCACCAGCGTAAGGTCCACCAGGCGACTCCACCGTGAGTGGTCTGATGACAACACAGACAGTTCTCAGTGTCCACTAAGCTTTCAATGTTCATGAGCCTGCACTAGTAATTTAAGTAAAAACCATAAAATGATCTGTTTCATCAAAGCTTAGAAAGCATACTGCTTTAGGCAAGGTCCCAAAAAAGGTCAAAAAAGGATCCTAAAAAGCGCAAACAAATGATTTGGTCCATTACCTGTAATCCACTTGTGTGGGTTGTGGAGGTGGGGGCAGTTGTATATGACCAGATACTTGATGGAGGAGAACACCTCGTTGACAGCCTTCATCCCGATGTCTGTGATGATACCTGGGTTTTCAATGACGTCAGCCAGGCCATACTTCACCAGCTCAGAGTGACTCATTTTACCTAACAAAGAAAGGACATTACAATCAATACATCTTATGTAATAGCATAACCATAACCTACAGTTAAAGGCTAGATTTTTTTTTTTTATGGAGCATTGTCCTATTTAGCTACATAATTTTATTTACACCGTTTCAGAAAGTAGATTATGGGGTACAGTAGTAGAGGGGAGGAAAGCAGGAAAGTGTAAGGGGTGGGATTCGTACCCATTGCCCATAGACAATGTGTTTTGTAGGCAAGTTTATTGTCATGAGTCTTGCCCTGTAGGCAGAACTGAGCGGTTTCCGCTAGATGTGCAAGCTCAAAGTCAAAATTTGGCGATAACGTAAAAGTTCATGAGAGAAAGAAAAGGTAGCTTTTTGTCTTAATTTAAGGTTAGGCATTAGGGTTAGCAGTGTGGTTAAGGTTTTGGTTAGGTTTAAAATGACTTTGTTGCCATACCAGCTAGTGACCTCTCTGCAGAGCGTTTTGCACATTCTAACGTTCAATCGAACAGTAACTGAATGCCTCGATGGCAGGCGATGCCTGTCTGCCTGCTTTATATAGCAAGCCATGGCCACATGACTCACTGTCTGTTGGAGCGAACCATTTTCGTGAACCGGGTTGTGTACCTACTAAACTGGCCACTAAGTGTATATCACTATAAAATATTATACTTTTTATATACAGTGTGGAAAAAAAGTATTTAGTCAGCCACCAATTGTGCAAGTTCTCCCACTTAAAAAGATGAGAGGCCTGTAATTTTCATCATAGGTACACGTCAACTATGACAGACAAATTGAGAAAATAAAATCCTGAAAATCACATTGTAGGATTTTTTATGAATTTATTTGCAAATTATGGTGGAAAATAAGTATTTGGTCACCTACAAACAAGCAAGATTTCTGGCTCTCACAGACCTGTAACTTCTTCTTTAAGAGGCTCCTCTGTCCTCCACTCGTTACCTGTATTAATGGCACCTGTTTTAACTTGTTATCAGTATAAAAGACACCTGTCCACAACCTCAAACAGTCACACTCCAAACTCCACTATGGCCAAGACCAAAGAGCTGTCAAAGGACACCAGAAACAAAATTGTAGACCTGCACCAGGCTGGGAAGACTGAATCTGCAATAGGTAAGCAGCTTGGTTTGAAGAAATCAACTGTGGGAGCAATTATTAGGAAATGGAAGATATACAAGACCACTGATAATCTCCCTCGATCTGGGGCTCCACGCAAGATCTCACCCTGTGGGGTCAAAATGATCACAAGTATGGTGAGCAAAAATCCCAGAACCACACAGGGGGACCTAGTGAATGACCTGCAGAGAGCTGGGACCAAAGTAACAAAGCCTACCATCAGTAACACACTACGCCGCCAGGGACTCAAATCCTGCAGTGCCAGACGTGTCCCCCTGCTTAAGCCAGTACATGTCCAGGCCCGTCTGAAGTTTGCTAGAGTGCATTTGGATGATCCAGAAGAGGATTGGGAGAATGTCATATGGTCAGATGAAACCAAAATATAACTTTTTGGTAAAAACTCAACTCGTCGTGTTTGGAGGACAAAGAATGCTGAGTTGCATACAAAGAACACCATACCTACTGTGAAGCATGGGGGTGGAAACATCATGCTTTGGGGCTGTTTTTCTGCAAAGGGACCAGGACGACTGATCCGTGTAAAGGAAAGAATGAATGGGGCCATGTATCATGAGATTTTGAGTGAAAACCTTCCATCAGCAAGGGCATTGAAGATGAAACGTGGCTGGGTCTTTCAGCATGACAATGATCCCAAACACACCGCCCGGGCAACGAAGGAGTGGCTTCGTTAGAAGCATTTCAAGGTTCCTGGAGTGGCCTAGCCAGTCTCCAGATCTTAACCCCATAGAAAATCTTTGGAGGGAGTTGAAAGTCTGTGTTGCCCAGCGACAGCCCCAAAACATCACTGCTCTAGAAGAGATCTGCATGGAGGAATGGGCCAAAATACCAGCAACAGTGTGTGAAGACTTACAGAAAATGTTTGACCTGTGTCATTGCCAACAAAGGGTATATAACAAAGTATTAAGAAACATTTGTTATTGACCAAATACTTATTTTCCACCATAATTTGCAAATAAATTCATAAAAAATCCTACAATGTGATTTTCTGGAATTGTTTTCCTCATTTTGTCTGTCATAGTTGACGTGTACCTATGATGAAAATTACAGGCCTCTCTCATCTTTTTAAGTGGGAGAACTTGCACAATTGGTGGCTGACTAAATACTTTTTTTCCCCACTGTAACAACTTAGGCCTTGACTGACTCACACTGCAATAGGAACTCATCAACGTATCCAAGGTGCAAAGTCTCAAACTGGGGGAACTCCAGTTCAGCCATCTTCAGTGCAGAGAACACCCCATCTTTGGTTAGGGAAGGCTGGATCCGAACTTCATGTAATCTAGATAAAAAAATAAATTTAAAAAAACAAAGCACTAAGTAAATCTCACCATTCATCACGTTAATCCATTGACTTAACTCAATCAGTGAGTTATTGGCTTACCTGCGTGCAGCAGTGATGATGAGGTAGCCCAGGTCAACTTCAAGTGCATTCTTACAGGCACCAAATACAATAGTGTGCAAATTGCGAAATCCGCCTGGGGCACAAAGGGGAAGTATAAATGGCCAGGTTTAGGACGATTGAAACACCAAAACAGAACACTTCGGAACACTGTTCCTGAGGCCTGTTCTGTATCTTTCTTTACACAGGACAAACGGATGTAGTAGCATTGTAGCTAGGCTATAGACGGCTGAAGCATGGGGTTGCCTATCTGCATTTATTTAGGATACCCCAATGGGCTAATCATTAGGTAGATCAAACTCTTAAGTGTTCAGAATTTTGGCTTCGATACCAATACCAGCGTAGTATGATAGTCAATACCACAACGATACCACTGTGAATGCCTTAAAGTCAAATATACAGCACTGTATAAATGTGGTCAACTCTCCATCTGGAGAGCTAGGCCACTGGGTGTGCAGGCTTTTGATCCAGCACTGCTCAAACACACCTGAGTAAATTCAAAAAGGTCCTGTTGAGCAGTTGATTTGTAGAATCTGGTATGTTAGAGTAGGCTGGTACAAAAGTCTACACTCCCAGTAGCTCTCTTAGTGCTATTATTATATTAGAAAATTAGCTTACAACCAAAAAGTATAATACTATAATTCAGTGAATCTGGTATCAAATGGCTATACTTCAAAGCAAGGTAGCTAAGCGGGAGGGTTCTAGACAGACTTTTCCCAGCGCCAAGTAACACATGAAAGAAGTTAGCCATTTCATCTAGCATGTTCAGGGAATGCATTTTGATGTGCAACATGTCAATATAGGATCCAGAATAATCCGATATATTTTTGGCTCTAGAGATTAATTCGCCTGCATGTTTTTTTTGTTGTTGTTTTTTTGCATATTGGCCTAGGCTATGCCTGGGAACTCAAAACACATTATTACCTCTGAGGGGTGAACTAGCTAGTTAGCTACTGTATGTTATTGTACGTTAGCCGATGATGACGGTTGCTTGAGGCATGATTAGCAAGATAATGCTGTTTTATTGACAGTAGCCTGGTAACGTTACTTGCTCATGTCTGATAGGTCCTTGGGACGTCCAACTGACGTCACTCCATTTTACTTTGACATTTTTGTCATTACAATTGGTCATAAAAAATGATACATTCATTTACCACCTGAGGAAGTGGGAACTCAAAACACATTAGCTAGATTGCTAACTCTAAATATGATATTGTTGCTAGATAGCAATGGAATTGATCTAACAGTAAAATGTAATGTCCTACAAAAACGTTCCATTGGTAGGCCTATATAGGCTACTTGATGATGTAATCACAGCAAATGGCGCGGTTTATTGTCCCAGTTCTAGTTAGTGTTGTTGTCTATCAAATTGTATAGGCTACCTACCTTGCTCTCTCCTATGGCAACGGCCCGACTCGCACACGCAGAGCCGCACATGTGGTTGGATAACTAACATCTTGAAAGTGCACGTTGAGTATTTTTTTTTGTTTTTTTTCCGCAGTTGCAACAATTAAGCAGCGGCACAATATAACGGAAAAACTGTAGTCATCTCCGTCACATTGATACTTATAGGACTGATTTCCCAGACAAAGATTTAGCCTAGTGCTGGACTAAAAAGCACCTGCAATGGAGGTTCCCTATTGACCATGCTTTTTAGTCCTGACGAGTCTTAATCTGGGTCAGGGAAACTGGCCCGTTATTGAGCATGACACACACACACCTCCAGATGTACTGAGTTAAATATCATTGAGATGGGTCCATCCTTCCTTACCTGACCTCCAGCTGTCCTCCACCACATGCTGGATGAGCCCCCCCAGGAAGGGCACTCTAACCAGCTCCAGCTGCTCCAGGTTGCGGGCCGAGGCCAGGCCCGTCACCAGGGGCACGTACTTCAGAGAGTTGGTGGGCCCCGCGCAGTTCCTCATCACAAAGGTCCGCAGGCTGACACACAGGAAGTCTTTGAAGGGCTGGGGCTTGGTGAGGCGAACCCACTTCAGGTACAGGTGTCTCAGCATGGAGACGCACGGGATCTCTGGCACATTCACCCCTGGGATGTAAGAGAGGAGTACATTGAGTTAGTACACTGTGGTGAGTGTCGTTAGTCTGGTAATTATTAATTATGCCGTTGAGCACAACAGAGGAGTTGGCGAAAGCCCACACAGATCTGCTACTAGTCTAGGGTGCCATGACCTAAACAGATTGGGAGATATATGCCTAGTCCTTGATACACTCACCGACAAGATGCAAGGTTTGTATTTTGGCTGCGATGGGGATGGTGAGCTTGTTTTCGGGGGGAATGGGGAACGCCCCGTTGCGGTTGCGGAACTTCCCCAGGATGTGGACCTGAGGCATGTAGTTCCAGATCGCCTCCACCAGCTCCAGATGAGACGTCTCCACTCCCTGCAGATAGACATACATCTTAGTGTACACAAACCTAGCAAAACAACATATTTAGGCGGCATACCTAAATATAAAGTTATTTATGTCAACCTAAAAGGCTTTCAAGATCACCTCACCATAAGTGTTAAGCCTACTTTCACAATCAGTCAAAATTGTTCCTGGCCCCGGTCTGTTAGACCCAGACTCACCAGCAGGTTGGGGCAGGCCTGAAGAGCCTCCAGTACTCCTGGGATGCTGAAGGCCTCATAGCCCCGGACTCTGCGGCGCTCCAGGTAGCGGGGGTGCAGCCCATACAGCTGCTCCAGGTCTGGCATCTTCTTCAGCAGCATGAGGAAACTGCAGTCTGTGAATCCTGCTCCATGGCACCAGGCCATAACAGTTACAGAGGGTTAACTAAAGAGTGCATTGACACTTCTTTGTAAACCCACAATCATTCAATCCCATTCATTATCGCAGAGTACGTACATATTACCTACAATCTTAGCTGCTTTAGACTTTAAAGTTCATTTATGTTTGACAGTGCTTCAAAATCAATGATCAACTATTGCATCATCAATATCCTCCCGCTACTTTCCAAACACGCCATGTACCTCTCTGCCTACCTGAGGGCATGTACTCCCACCAACGGCTAGCACACAGGTCCACCACCTTCACCACCCGCAGGTACAGTGTCACCGCCTCCCGAAGCTTCCGAGACAGGCACTCCATACACATGATGTCCTGCATGGGCAGATACCTGCATGCAGGGGGGATAAAGGAGGGAAATATTCACAGCTACCCTATCCTGGTCATTGTGGCGGTGCATCACCTTTGAGGCACAAAAAAAAATACAAATGTTTAGTTGTAAAATAATCAGATTTCGTAAAAGCACATTGTGGAGATTTACAGTCCAAGCAAGGACCAATGACGACGTCCCATTGTCATGTCAGAGGGTGAACAGCAACAAAGAACCCTTATTATGTCCCAAATTGCACTTTATTCCCTATTTAGCGCTCCACCTCTGACCAGAGGGGCCCTGGTCAAAGTGAGTACACTATATAGGGAATATGGTGCCTTTTGGGGGACACCCCCATTGAATTCTGCTCTTTGACGCTCACTGACCGGAATATGTGGCAGAGGACCTCATGGGAGAGTTCATTGATGTAGTCCTTGGGCTCCTCCAGTCTGTAAGGGTCGGCAGCTCCCCCACCGGCGAGCTGTGTCTTGGTGGACTTCCGCCTCGGGCCCATCATGTCCAGGGCAGTGAGATATTCACCCAGAGAAGGCAACAAACTCACCCCCTCTCACGCGGGCCCTGTTATTCAGGCATGCACACACAAGGACAAACAAACTCTGTCACTGATGACACTTCTGCAAGAGGAAAAAATTTAAATGTTTTTTTTTTTTTTCCACTCTGGGATAAAGACGCCATACGTTGTGGACCAACAGTGAAAGATACTAAAGTCACCAAGCATTTCTCGAACAAAAAGATAGTAATAAGTAAAGATGACAAAGTTGACAGAGGAAAGTTAGCAGACTATTGGGACCCTAGCCGACTCAACGATTTACAATGGAGTTGATCGGCGACTAGCGTGGGCTGACTGGAGCACTGACGTCACATAAACTTTTTAATAAATGCGGCCTATTCTTTGGGTGCTGAAATCGGAGTTTAAGATAAAAACGTATGTGACATCGGAACTACAGTCCACCCACACTAGTCACCACCATCTTAAATCGTGGAGTTAAGTTTAGTCGGCTATAGCAGCCTGGTCTCATAGACAAGACGTAACATAAATCCGAAACACTCAAATTAGTATATGTTACATTTGGTATGGTTACATAAGACAAATGGTTACTTAACTCAAAAACTAAAGTAGTGTGGTTGGTCATGGTGGACTGGTGGGCGTATAACACCAACATCTAGCAACCCAAAGGTTGTGAGTTTGAATCCCATCACGGACAACTTTAACATTTTAACTAATTAGCTACATTTCAATTACTTACCACGTTTTCGCTACTTTGCATGTTAGCTAACCCTTCCCCTAACCTTAACCCTTTTAGCTAACCCTTCCCTTAACTCTTTAACCTAACTCCTAAACTTAACCCTAACACCTAGCCTAGCTAACGTTAGCCACCTTGCTAGAATTCGTAACATATCACGCATTTTTCAAATTCGTAACAATGGAAGTTTTTCAAATTCATAACATATTGTAAGTTTCGCTAATTCGTAACACATAATGTGAATTGTAATTTCTAACATATCATACGAAATGGGTGATGGACATCCACAAAATTAATACACACCATACGAAATGTAACATATCATACTAAATGGAGTGTCTCGGATTTACATACCGAATAATACAAAATGCTCTGAGACCAGGTTGGCTATAGGGACCCATGACTGACAAGCTATCTGTCAGGAATGGGCTCATACTAACATTTTCTTATGTCGAACGCTAGCTACATATAGCGTACATGCAAGAAGCTTTTCACTTAGCCACATGCCATCTATTGAAGAGTTATTGTAATTTCATAAATCAGATAGTCACTACAGCAATACAACTAGCCAATCAGTGAACCAGAATCTGGCCTTACAGGAGATGTTGAATATGGCAATTATCCTTTATTAAGCCCAGGAAGGAGTTATTCAACTTGCCCAGGAAGGAGTTATTCGATCTGTCAAGTTGAATGGCTGCTTCCTGGGCTTAAAGGAGAGTAGGCATATTCAACATCTCATGTAAAGCCAGATTCTGGTTCAGACAATCAGTAGCTTAACTATTGAGTTCAAACAATGGAGTACCACAGTATGAGTCACAATACCCATAAAACCTAGAGGTCAAACAGGGAAGCTGTTCCAATTGTTTTTCTACCATTCATTTTTCACCATAAGGGATTTTTAACACTTAAAATAAGGGCTGTGTTTCGTGTACCTGGTGTGACGTTTTGATAACCGTGTGAATCTCTCTAGGACAAGGTGACTTATCAATATATTCACCTGCATTTACCCCCAAAAATGAAATGCTAATTAGCTGCTAATGTGGCTATCATAAAGAACACCAAATTCCATGATGATCTGGACGAGACTGCCGAGGCAAAGGTGTTAAGAATCTCTGGATTAACTATCCAATGTTAGCTATACGTCATAAACTGGCTAAATTTCTTTAAATGGACAATTCTGTGAACGATCTTGTGTAAGTTTTAAATTGACACAATACCTGGTAGCAAAGGTGTCCACTAGAGATGACGTGCATGATGTTTGCATTTTCGAATCAGAGTAAATAGAGCAGAATATTTTGATAAAAGTCACCTTGTCCTATAGAGATTTACATGGCTATCAAAACGTCACGCCAGGGTAAGCCTACACGAAACACAGCCCTTATCTTAAGTGTTTCTAAAATCCCCTATGGGAAAAATGAACAGCGGAAAAACGGTGGGAACCATTTTCCTGTTGGACCACTAGGTTTTATGGGTATTATGACACCTCCACCGCGGGGCTCTATAGGCTGCTTAACACACCAATTAACACAATAGCCAGGTAGCTAATGCTAACATAACTAGCTAGCAAGCTACTGTGTTCATTACAGTATTTCTGCATAAACTGGAAGCCATAAAAAGCCACCAAGTCTTCCTATTACATGACAGCATTTTAGAAAACTAAATACATCTCTAGCAAACGAACGAAACACACTAGAAAGTGAGACAATGGACATCAATAACGCAAAGTAATTAACAAGCACGGGCCACCCAAAAACACAAACAGTTAGCAATGACTAGCTATTACCAGCTAGCTTTGTAGCATGTTTTGCTAAGCAACATTCACCTTTCAGGCTAGTGAGAATTCACGAAGAAAGGGGTGAGGTACATTTGATTCTTTCCAAGTTCTATACAGGTTCTCGTCAGTTGGCTTGCAAGGAAGTTGACTCTTCTTTGAAGCTTTCACTCGCTCAATACAGATGGACTCAGACAGCTAGCTAGCTGGCTGGCTGGCTAAACAACATCCCCACCCGACACCCGTGGAAGTAACTTAAAGCCTTTTGTGGCAGTGGCAAGCACTGAAACACAGTTTTAGTTATACAGTGGTTCTATCTGAACCAAGCCTTGTCTGAGGACTTGGACCGGGCCTCTCTGTCTGTCTCCAGGAGGTCCGATAAACACAGCATATGAAAGATGAACTCGCACCTCGATATCTGCGCTCAGATCATAGACGTACTTCCGCTATACACGCGCACCTCGATTTCTGCCCTCAGATCAGTGACGTGCTTCCGCCATTCAAGCGCTCCGGTTATGGTTCTTACCTCACGCAGATCTCCAGGGAAGAGGAGTCACTGGGAGGGGTTACAAAGGCACTTATTGCGGTGGTTGCATTGGTTTGTAGTAAAATTGTGTAATAGTGTAAAAACAACACAGCATGTCACGCTATGAAAATTTTGATTAGAACTCGTGCTTTCCTTACACTGCAATCATATCAGGGAATGTAAATATATCATCATGTGCATTTGAAATGTTGGATGTTTTTCTGTTCAATCTATGGCGCTAGTATGCCACTAGATGGCGGAAAAAACACACACTATCAACACACCTTGAGGATTTTATACATGGTATGAAACAGCCAATCTCCCTGGCCTTTTCATTGTAGCTATATAGACATGTTGATTTAATTGGTAACCATAATATGTTAATTCACTAAGATAATGTTTTGTGAGCATTTTATTTTCTGAGAGAGAAAAAAATACAACAATCAACTAATGGGGCAGGTAGCCTAGCGGTTAAGAGCATTGGGCTGTAACTAAATGGTTGCTGGTTCAAATCCCCAAGCTACTAGGTAAACAATATGTTAATGTTCCCTTGAACAAGGCACTTACCCCTGAATGCTCCTTTAAGTCGCGCTGGATAAAAGCGTCTGCTAAACTATTGTAATGGAAGGTAATGACGAAAGACATAAGGTAACCGGGTTTGACCAGTGGTGTAAAAATACTTTGAAGTACGACTTAAGTTGCTTTTTGGGGTATCTGTACTTTACTTCACTATTTATATTTTTTGACAACTTTTACTATTACTTCACTACATTCCTAAAGAAAATAATGTACTTTTAACTCCATACATTTTCCCTCGCACCCAAAAGTACTTGTTACATTTTGACATTAAAATGGTCCAATTCACGCACCTATCAAGAGAACATCCCTGGTCATCCCTACTGTTTCTGATCTGGCGGACTGACTAAACACAAATGCTTCATTTGTAAATGATGTCTGAGTGTTGTAGTGTGCCCATTGCTAGCCGTAAAAAAAAAAAAAAAAAAAAAAAAAAAAAAAAGTGCAGTCTGGTTTGCTTAATATAAGGAATTTGAAATGATTTATACTTTTACTTTTGATACTTAAGTATATTTTAGCAATTACATTTACTTTAGATACTTAAGTATATTTAAAACTAAAGAGTTTTAGACTTTTACTGAAATAGTATTTTACTGGGTGACTTTCACTTTTACCTGAGTCATTTTCTATTAAGGTATTTTTACTTTTACTCAAGTACGACAATTGAGTACTTTTCCACCACTGGGTTTGACAAATATCTGGTGTGTCAGTGATGATTTGCAGTTACAGTCTTCCAGCGAGAAACTGAGGAAATAGCCCTGTGCACTGTGTCTGTGTAACCCTACCCTCATATTAATACCCATCAAATCCTGTTGGGAATATTTATTTCCTTGCCTGGTGTTGAAAGCACAACTTGATTTTCCCAGAGCATTCCAGAGGATGTTAAACTAACAGTGGATGGAGGCCTTTTTGTGGAGTGTAAAGTAGCAAGTCAACATGGACCAGAATGGCATTCTGTTTTAATTTTTTAATAAAAACACATTTCATATGTAAAAGGAAGAACGTTCTCATCAAAATAGATTTCGCAAACACTACACGAAAAGTATAGAAACTATTTTTATTACAAAAATATTATTGTACAGTACTACATTTACATGAGCACCAGAGTGAGTTTGCATCATGCAATGTTTCACAGAGTAATTGCATAAGACTAATGTGGCAATTTTAAAACACTTGGGTACTAGATTTATGACTACTTGAGGGTAGGGTGAATGACTCTTTGTTAAATTATCTTTGTAATGGTTGTCATGTTTTTCAACAAACAAAACATGTGAAATATATAAATGCATATGGTCAGATTCTTAATAAAATATAAGACAACTAGGCCAGCAAAAGCTGTAATTCAACTTAACAATACAATCAACACTTTTTGTCTAAATGACCCATAGGTCAATCCAACCTGGAATAAGAATATAAGCCATTTAGCAGACACTTTCATCCAAAGCGACTTACAGTCATGCGTGCATACATTTTACATATGGATAATCCCGAGAATCAAACCCACTAGCCTGGCGTTACAAGCACCATGCTCTACCAACTGAGCTACAGAAGAGTAATAGAGGTTACATCATAAATATAAAACAATAAAGTAAAAACACAGCTAAATTGCTTTTTTGTGAGTTTTAAAACCATTAGACAAAGGTACAGTACGATACTTGTCCTCAAATACCTTATACAACAATATACCTCACAAGAGTTGTAAGTAATATACACATCTATAGCGCTGCAAAATAACTTGGCATCTGACAGATACTGCACAGGGTAAATAATAGTATTACTGCATTTTTCAGGCACAATTAGACACATATTATACAACATCTGAATAAAAAAAGATTTAAAAAAATTATCACCTAATCCATTCATCCATCCATCTAATTTCCCTGATGAGTTATACTTTCCTACATGAAACATACACATTACAAAACCTCTTTAAAAAATAATACCACCTATTTCAAAACAGAGGACACCACAGTTTGTGTTACTATTATGAGAATATAAAAGCAAGGAACACATTGTAAACATTTTGGCTAGATTTTGATTTGTCACAGTTACATTTTCCAATTTTTGAAAAGCTTATAAATCTTGGATTTACCAATTTAGACAAGCTTAAAAGTTCCTCATATTACTTTATGCTTTGAAAGTTTGGACACAGGTACATGTTTAGATGAGTGTTTAAAAAACAAAACAATATAATTGTACATTCCATGGTTGGGGTCAATTCTATTAGAAACGTTAATTTGTGAAAATGGTAAATTGGAGCTCATTTAATAAAATGTAAGTTTACCTAAATTGAACCTAACCCTGGTACTTTCTCCCATTAACTAATGAATGATTTCTCCAGGGCTACGTGCATCCAAACACACATTTTAAGTTGAGTGCACTGCATTTCTTTGTTTATATAGACATTCTTCCATTTGTCCATTCCTTTCCATCCTTTAAAATACAATTAGAGTTGACTGGTATTAAAAAAACATATAAATTATTCGATAGCACACATGAGAGGGTTTCCCTGCCCTGAGACATCTCAATGAAGCGGAATTCCTCCTAGCAGGCAGCTTAGTAACATTTGTCCATGCCTATCCCAGGATCCAACCTGGTAGGGCTTGTGTTAACACTGCTTATCATGGAAGGTGTAGTTCAACCAAGCCTTTCCTTGGTTCCATCTACCTGGCTCATTGTTCCTTGCTCATAGTCCATTGTTGGGTCAGAATAGCAGCAGTGGCTAGGAGACAAGGCCGTAGGTGTGGGGTGGGATGAGGGGGCTGGTTAGCACTGGTAGTGGAAGTGCTGGTGTTGATGGACCTTACCATCCACATGGGCGTGTGTGTGTGAGTGCGTGTGCATGTCTGTGTAAACCTTGGAGTAGATCTTAGGGGGCCCACTGAGGCCGGGGGTTCCCAGGCCCACCAGTCTCTGGCTGGGGTAGTCAGGGCTAGTCAGGGTACTACAGGGGGTGGTGGTGCTGGGCTCTTTGTCCGAGATGTGGTTTTCTCTGTGGGCCACAGGTATGGGCCGGGGGGGCAGGGTGTTGTGGCGTCGGCGGCTGTGGCACAGCCAGAGTACGATGGTGCCTACGATGAGGAGGGCTGCTGCGGGGATACCGATGATCAGAGGCCATGGCAGGCCGGAGCTTAGGTGGGGAGGAGTCACTGTATTCTCCACCTGAGGGTCTGGACAGAGAGACAAATCACAGTGATATGAGAGACAGCTCTACAGATGTAAGCCTCCATCCCTCCATCCCATCCTAGTAAAGTCCCATTCTACAGTTCAGAGTGAATGGCTGTACTCACCTGGCAGCACAGTAAGGTAAGCACTGCGAAAGCTGTAGCCCATAGTGTTGGCTCCCAGGCAGATGTACATGCCAGCATCCTCATCGCGGGCCTTGACGATAGCCAACTTGTTGAGGTAGGAGCCGTCAGGCCGGGACCACACATCCCCTGTTGGCAGAACCACAAAATGCTGCCCTCCGACCTCCAGGGTGGAGTTATAGCGGTCCTGTGTGCCTGGGTCCACCCTTTTCAGCCACTGGACCACAGGCTTCACGTCACTGTGGACCTTACACTGGAAGGAGGCGGTGCCGCCATACTCCACGGTGGTGTTGACCGGGTGGGTGCCGGTCAGAACAGGCTTGCAGTGAGAGCGCTCTGTAGGGAGAAGGACAGGAGTTCATAAGCATGTGAATCATAATGACAATACACTTCACACAATTAATATGGCGACATATGGGAGGTCTGAGTATAAATGAAATTGGAGTGTAATGGAGGAAAAGGAACAATTATTTGTCGTGGTGTTGGTGGTGTTACCGATGACATCCAGCTTGTAGGTGGCATTGATGTGCCCTGCTGGGTTAGAGACGTGGCAGGTGTACTTGGCACTGTCATGGGGCTGCAGGTTCTTCAGGGTGAGGGTCCACTGCGGGCGCTTACCCTGGCGCGGGGGTGGCAGAGGGGTCTGGTCTTTCCACCAGGTAAAGACGGGGGGAGGGGTGCCCGTGGCCTGGCACTTGAGCCTCACCGAGCTGCCCACCGGCTTGTACAGCACCCGCCTTCGCATCTTAGTGGGCTGGCTGAACCGAGGCTTCACTGCAGAGATAATACATCATGGAGGTTAGGTAACACAGATGTCAATAGCATTCAGATGACAACGTGTAGGAGTATTCTAATGTAGTGAAGTGAAGCAGTGTGCTGCTCACCCCAGGGCTCTCCTGTAGGGTCAGGCTGGGTTAGCTCAGCATTGGGTTCCAATACGGCAGGTGGAGCGTCGGTCTGGGTCGCTGCAGTGTCATCTGAAAAACACAACAGTCATTGACGGAGGGTTAGCCTCTGTCACTCACACACACACCCATGCAGGGAGTATGAAGATTGTTTCATAGCAAGCCGACCCGTTTCATTTTCACCCAACTTTTCACCTAAATCCAATTAAATGGTGACATTTTTTGTTGATTTCACATTGAACTCAACCAAATGTAAATCCAAACTAGACGTTGAACTGACCCCTGTGCCCAGTGAGAAATCTGAATAAATCTGATCGTAGGACTGTGGAAGACGATGCATTACTCTAGTATCTAAAAAACATAAAAGCGAAAAAGTTAGGTTTTTATGTAGTCTTTCAAAAAATTGAATATTGCAGAAAAATAATGTACTCTCACGCTACAGAGCAAAGAAAGGCAATATAAAACCAATGGGTCAAAGAAAAGGGAGTTCTCCTACCCCCTGCCATTACCACAAAGTATCCTTTAGATATTGCCACATAAATCTAGCGGTCAGTTATAGTTTCAGTGATATGAGCTATTTCATCCAAGACCCAAGTTCTAATGTCTGCAAATGGCGTTGTGTAAATCACACGGGGGTCTAGGGATGAGTGCAAACTGCTGAAGGATCTCTCACATTTATTTGCCTTGCTTTGAGCTCCAACAGGACCCCTCTGTGTGACGCAGGATGAATGATTCTGCTTGGAGATCAGTGGAGTGTGAGGTGTGTAAACGACTGCGTGTTTGGCTTTCAGAGCATATGAAGTTTTACAACTCTATGGGAACGATAACCAGGCAAAGCTCTGGTATTATTCTAACTGGCTCTGGGAGGCAGGGGTGAGCAAACAGTGCCATATTGTTGCTTCTCTCAAGTTTCCACACTGTTTAAAACAAGACAGCGTGTTGACTTAACCCTGAGCTGGAAACCAATTAGCTGCCTTTAACCTAAAATGTGCAGGCAGGTCAGCAGGCAGGTAGGCACGCAGTCAGACGGACAGGGCTGAGAGAGAGTGCTGCTTTGTTTGGTCCGACCCTCTGGCACGACCCACAGGAATGCACAGAGAACCCTGGGTCCACTGCTGACTGAGCTAACACTAACACACACACACACACACACACACACACACACACACACACACACACACACACATATATATATATATATATACTACAGTTCAAAAGTTTGGGGTCACTTAGAAATGTCCTTGTTTTTGAAAGAAAAACACTTTTTTTGTCCATTAAAATAACATCAAATTGATCAGAAATACAGTGTAGACATTGTTAATGTTGTAAATGGCTATTGTAGCTGGAAACAGCTGATTTTTAATGGAATATTTACATAGGCGTACAGAGGCCCATTATCAGCAAACATCAGTCCTGTTTTCCAATGGCACGTTGTGTTTTCTAATCCAAGTTTATCGTTTTAAAAGGCTAATTGATCATTAGAAAACCCTTTTGCAATTATGTTAGCACAGCTGAAAACTGTTGTTCTGATTAAAGAAGCAATAAAACCGCCCTTCTTGAGACTAGTTGAGTATCTGGAGCATCAGCAATTGTAGGTTCGATTACAGGCTCAAAATGGCCAGAAACAAATAACTTTCTTCTGAAACTCGTCAGTTTATTCTTGTTCTGAGAAATGAAGGCTATTCCATGCGAGAAATTGCCAAGAAACTGAAGATCTCGTACAACGCTGTGTACTACTCCCTTCACAGAACAGTGCAAACTGGCTCTAACCAGAATAGAAAGAGGAGTGGGAGTCCCCGGTGCACAACTGAGCAAGAGGACAAATACATTAGTGTCTAGTTTGAGAAACAGACGCCTCACAGGTCCTCAACTGGCAGCTTCATTAAATAGTACCCGCAAAACACCAGTCTCAACGTCAACAGTGAAGAGGCGACTCCGGGATGCTGACCTTCTAGGCAGAGTTGCAAAGAAAAAGCCATATCTTAGACTCGCCAATACAAATAAAAGATGGGCAGTCTGAGATATGGCTTTTTCTTTGCAACTCTGTCTAGAAGGTCAGCATCCCGGAGTCGCCTCTTCACTGTTGACGTTGAGACTGGTGTTTTGCGGGTAGTGTTAAACACTCTTGGCATTCTCTTAACCAGCTTCATGAGGTAGTCACCTGGAATGCATTTCAATGAACCTTGTCAAAAGTTAATTTGTGGAATTTATTTCCTTCTTAATGCGTTTGAGCCAATCGGTTGTGTTGTGACAAGGTAGGGTTGGTATACAGAAGATAGCCCTATTTGGTAAAAGACCAAGTCCATATTGTGACAAGAACAGCTCAAATAAGCAAAGAGAAACGACAGTCCATCATTACTTTAAGACATGAAGGTCAGTCAATCCAGAACATTTCAAGAACTTTGAAAGTTTCTTCAAGTGCAGTCGCAAAAACCATCAAGCGCTATGATGAAACTAGCTCTCATGAGGACCGCCACAGGAATGGAAGACCCAGAGTTACCTCTGATGCAGAGGATATGTTCATTAGATTTACCAGCCTCAGAAATTGCAGCCCAAATAAATGCTTTACAGAGTTCAAGTAACAGACACATCTCAACATCAACTTTTCAGAGGAGACTGCGCAAATCAGGCCTTCATGGTCGAATTGCTGCAAATAAACCACTAGTAAAGGACACCAATAAGAAGAAGAGACCTGCTTGGGCCAAGAAACACGAGCAATGGACATTAGACCGATGGAAATCTGTCCTTTGGTCTGATGAGTCCAAATGTCCGATTTATGGTTCCAACCGGCATGTCATTGTGAGATGCAGAGTAGGTGAACAGATGATCTCCGCATGTGTGGTTCCCACCGTGAAGCATGGAGGAGGAGGTGTGATGATGTGGGGGTGCTTTGCTGGTGACACTGTCAGTGATTTATTTAGAATTCAAGGCACACTTAACCAGCATGGCTACCACAGCATTCTGCAGCGATACGCCATCCTATCCGGCTTGCGCTTAGTGGGACTATCATTTGTTTTTCAACAGGACAATGACCCAACACACCTCCTAGCTGTGTAAGGGCTATTTGACCAAGAAGCAGAGTGATGGAGTGCTGCATCAGATGACCTGGCCTCCACAATCACCAGACCTCAACCCAATTGAGATGGTTTGGGATGAGTTGGACCGCAGAGTGAAGGAAGAGCAGCCAACAAGTGCTCAGCATATGTGGGAACTCCTTCAAGACTGTCGGAAAACCATTCCAGGTGAAGCTGGTTGAGAGTGTGCAAAGCTGTCATCAAGGCAAAGGGTGGCTACTTTGAAGAATATCAAATATCAAATATATTTAGATTTGTTTAACACTGTAGCGGGTGATGACGGAGTCAGGTGCAGGAGGTGTGAATCACAGAATATGGTTTATTTGTCTGCGTTCGCCGGTGGCGACGAACGCCGAAGCCTGCCCGAACAAGGAGAGGAGGCAGCTTCGGAGGAAGTCGTGACAGTACCCCCCCCTCTTGACGCGCAGCTCCAGCAGCGCGCCGACAACGGCCTCGGAGGACGCGGAGCAGGGCGAGCCGGAAGGCGACGGTGGAAATCCCGCAACAGGGAGGGATCGAGGACATCCTTCACCGGGACCCAGCACTGCTCCTCCGGAACGTACCCCTCCCACTCCATGAGGTACTGAAGGCCCCCCACCCGACGCCTCGAATCCAGGATGGAACGGACAGAGTACGCCGGGGCCCCCTCGATGTCCAGATGGGGCGGAGGGATCTCTCACACCTCAGACTCCTGGAGTGGACCAGCCACAACCGGCCTGAGGAGAGATACGTGAAACGAGGGGTTAATACGGTAATCAGGAGGGAGCAGCAACCTATACGTAACCTCGTTAACTCTCCTCTGGACTTTGAACGGCCCCACAAACCGCGGGTTCAGCTTCCGGCAGGGCAGGCGGAGGGGCAGGTTCCGGGTCGAGAGCCAGACCCGATCACCCGGTACAAAGACCGGGGCCTGCGGTGGCAGTCAGCATTGGCTTTCTGGCTACGCACGGCGTGCTGTAGGTGGACGTGGGCGGCGTTCCATGTCTCCTTCGCGCGCCGAAACCAGTCGTCCACCGCAGGAGCCTCGGTCTGGCTCTGATGCCAGGGAGCTAGGACCGGCTGATACCCTAAAACACATTGAAATGGTGATAGGTTAGTGGAGGAGTGACGTAGAGAGTTCTGGGCATATTCGGCCCATGGCAAGAACAACGACCACTCCCCCGGCCGTCCTGGCAGTAGGACTGCAGGAACCTACCCACATCCTGATTCACCCGTTCCACCTGCCCATTAGATTCGGGGTGAAACCCAGATGTCTGGCTGACCGAGACCCCCAGACGTTCCATGAACGCCTTCCAGACCCTAGACGTAAACTGGGGACCCCGGTCAGACACTATGTCCTCTGGCATCCTGTAGTGCCGGAAGACATGAGTAAACAGGGCTTCCACAGTTTGCAGGGCCGTGGGGAGACCGGGCAGAGGAAGGAGGCGGCAGGCTTTAGAGAAGCGGTCCACAACGACCAGGACAGTGGTGTTACCCTGAGAGAGGGGAAGATCAGTTAGAAAGTCAATCGATAAGTGGGACCATGGCCGTTGTGGAACTGGTAAGGGATGTAACTTACCCGCTGGAAGGTGCCTAGGTGCCTTACTCTGGGCGCACACCGAGCAGGCGGAGACATACACCCTCATGTCCTTAGCCAAGGTAGGCCACCAGTACTTCCCGGTCAGGCAGCGCACTGTACGGCCGATGCCTGGGTGACCAGAGAAGGGGGACGTGTGTGCCCAATAGATAAGACGATCACAGACAATAGACGGCACGTACCGCAGCCCAGCTGGGCACTGAGGTGGAGATGGCTCTGTGCGTAACGCCCGCTCTATGTCCGCGTCCACCGCCCACACCACCGGCGCCACAATGCAGGAGGCCGGGGGTGTTGTCTATGGGCCTCTCCTCTGTGTCGTAAAGCCGTGACAGTGCGTCTGCCTTCACATTCTTTGTGCCTGGTATATAGGACAGCATGAAATCAAACCGGGTGAAGAACAAGGCCCACCTGGCCTGGCGAGGGTTCAGCCTCCTCGCTGCCCGGATGTAATCCAGGTTACGGCGGTCAGTCCAGACGAGGAAAGGGTGTTTCGCCGTGTAGTGCTAACCAGGGAAGGCCCAACACAACAGAAAAATCAGGGGACTCAATAATATGAAAGGTGATTAGCTCCCTATGGGTCTCCTGCGTAATCATAGTGACTGGTGCTGTAACCTCCCTAACAAAACCTGACCCTAATGGTTGACTGTCAAGTGCTTTGATGGGCAATGGAATGGACAGGGGAACCAATGCAATACGTAGACTAAGAGCTAAAGACCTGTCCATAAAGTTCCCAGCTGCGCCTGAATCTACCAGCGTCTTACACTGAGAACTACCGTGTAATCAGGGAAGTTGACGTGGATGGTGAAATGCGCAGCAGAGGGCTCTGAACGAGTGTGGGTTAGCGCTACCTGGGGTGACGCGAGAGTGCCCTGCCTGCCGCCTACAGAACCAGAAGAACTCTGACGACATTGTGCAGCAACGTCCTCCGTTCTCCCGGATCGCTGCACCACCCAGCTCCGTCAGAACTTGATCCGGGTTGAAGGGGGGTGAAACGGGCAGGACGTCCTCTCGAAGCCAGCAGGTTGTCCAACTGGATGGCCATGTCCACCAGTTGGTTGAAGGTCAACGTGGTATCCCGGCAGGCTAGTTCCCTTCGGACGTCCTCACGCAGGCTGCATCGGAAGTGGTCGATGAGGGACCGCTAGTTCCACCCGGACCCAGCCGCTAGAGTTTTAAACTCCAGGGCAAAGTCTTGCGCGGTCCTCGTCCCCTGCCTCAGATGGACCAGACGAACTCTCCGTAGTTGTCCAACGCGTCTCCTCCTTCACTCCAGACCGCGTTGGCCCACTCCAGGGCTTTCCCCGAGAGGCAGGAGACGAGGGCGGACACCTTCTCCCGATCCGATGGAGCGGGGATGATGGTGGTGAAATAGAGGTCCAGCTGCAGGAAGAAACCCTGGCAGCGGGCCGCTGTCCCGTCGTATTTCCTCGGTCGAGACAGGTGAATACCTCTGGGGGCTGGGGTGTGGGTGGCTGGATCCGGTCGCTCAGCTGGTTCCGCAGGGTCGGGTCCTCTCCTCTCCAGGCGCTGGACGACCTGGAGAACCCGATCCATCGCTTCGCCCAAGCTGGCTAACATGTTGGAATGCTCCGGGACCCGCTCAACGGCTCCAGGCATATTCCCCTCTCCATGCTGTTGGGTGTGTGATTCTGTAGCGGGTGATGAGGACGGAGTCAGGCGCAGGAGGTGTGAATCACAGAATATGGTTTATTCATCCAATACAGCAGTTTGCAGCAATGGAAAAACCAAATACAGTGCGACTTCAATGTGCACTGGGGAAACAAAACACACGGGTGAATTTCACGGCGACAAAAGTAACATGAATGCTCAACCGAGCTAGCGACAACTCCACATGGAAACAATCACACACAAAGACATGGGGGGCAGAGGGAATACTTATACAGGGACTGATGAGGGGATATGAACCAGGTGTGTGTAAAAAACAAGACAAAACAAATGGAATGATGAGGAGCGGCAGTGGCTAGAAGGCCGGTGATGACGAACGCCGAGGCAGCTTCGGAGGAAGTCGTGACAAACACTTTTTTGGTTGCTACATGATTCCATATGTGTTATTTCATAGTTTTGATGTCTTCACTATTATTCTACAATGTAGAAAATTGTAAAAATAAAGAAAAACCCTTTAATGAGTAGGTGTGTCCAAACTTTTGACTGGTACTGTATATATACACATACACACACACACATATGCACAGTCATGCACGGACACACATACCCACATGCACACACACACACTCACTAACCAGCCATGTTTTGAATAACCTTGTGTCAACAACTGTGTGTGGTACGCAGGTGCTAATGATCCACACCTCATTGTTGTTGAAACATTCCCTAAAATTCAGATTAATCGTAACTGCTCATAATAGTGACAACGGGGTCTGTGTAAAATAATAGCACATACCAGATCTATTTAAATCACAACATTTTCTTTTGATTTGTAAATTACCAATAATTATCACTGAGATGTAAAGGCTTCCTAGCACTCTGACCATCACAGAGTAGTGAGTATAGACAAAGACAGCCGGCTAAGCAGTCACATCAAGCCAGTGGACTAAGCTGATTGTCCACTATGTCTGCTCTGCCTGGCCGTGTCTTTTGCCAACATCCCTGTTGCCTGATGGAACCTGGTCAGGTGTGTGTGCTTGTGTGTGTGTGTGTGTGTGTGTGTGTGTGTGTGTGTGTGTGTGTGTGTGTGTGTGCACGTATACTGTTCTTTGTCCTGATTTAATCCTGGTGTTCTGGTCCAGAGGGCCATATGACAGCCAGAGGGCCGCACCCTGCTTAACACCGCGTAGTGAGGCACAAGAGAGTCAGAAGAGCCCAAAGCCAGCACCAAGTGTTTTTTGCTAGCCCCCATTGTTGCTATTGGGTTCTGGGAGAGTAAGCCTGGGTGTAGCAACAATTCCACTGGCACGGGAGAGGTGGCTATTCAGCAACACCGAGGTGGAATTAGGGGGGCATTATCTTGTCTAAAGAGGTCTTAGCCAGGGCTCATTCCTTTACTCTCTGTGTGCTGATGTTTTCTCGAAACAGGTGCAGAGGGACAGAACAGAGGTTTTCCCTTATGTAGCACTATTAGGAGAACATTGGACCATTTCCTATGTATTGGATATTACATTTTTCTGATGCTATGTTTATACATTCAATACACTTAATGTAATCTGTGACCAGTTGAAATGATTAGTTGGAAAAGTGACTAGTTGACAAAGATTATCCAGTTCAAGAAAATACGTAATACTTTCAGGCCACTGTCAGTGGCATGGCCTGATGTGATGACTGAGGTAAAGCACGGCTTTCCCTCACGGCTGGGCAGACTGCTCCAGCTCTGGCTCCTGTGTGTAGTGGAGCAGTGGAAAGGAAAGTGGTGCTGGACTGGTGTAGCGCTAGGCTGAAGGACCCTTTTCCTCTGCTCCTGTCCAGGCCCACAGACACACACACAGAGGGGCAGAGAGGGGGAAGGTAGAGAGGGAGGGCGGAGGTGAGGGTGGAGGTGGAGACGGCGGGTCTGGGGGAGAAAGAGGGCGAGGGAGGGCTGCCCCAGTCCCAGGCCTGAAGCTCCCCTAACCATAACACTCTTCATGTGGAGGCCGTGTTTATAAGGTCCTATATTATTCTTTCCTACTGGGGGAACTTTAAAGGGTCTACCCTCAAAAAGCCCCATTCTCCATTCCTACCGGGTACCTGTGTTCAAACATACGTGCCACTGTGTCTCATGGAGCACTCTCCATCTGACCATCTGAACCCGGGCCCAAATCAAATGCAAAACAAACATGGTTTCGCAGTGATTTTCATTAGTGACGGCACAGCTGATAAACACTGACTTTTGAAAATAACGGAACGGTTAGTCGTTTGTTTTATCTTAGAAAAACTAAGAATGGAGTATTACGTGGCAGTTCCATTCCACATACCATGGTGGTGGTGAACTATTACCAAAACAATAATGTTAATCAAGAGAAAATTTTTTACCTTCCTTTCACAGTCCCCTGTAGCTCAGTTGGTAGAGCATGGCGCTTGCAACGCCAGGGTTGTGGGTACGTTTCCCATGGGGGGCCAGTATGAAAATGTATGCACTCACTAACTGTAAGTCGCTCTGGATAAGAGCGTCTGCTAAATGACTAAAATGTAAATAAGATTTCAGCAGTGATATGGACCTGAATGACATATAAATTAGCTCACCTTGAGCAAAGCAATTCACAGACTAGAAAATAATCATCGAACTTGTCAAGAAAGTTAAAAGCAGTTTGGAAGTTAAGAAGATTTGAGGTTCAGATTTGAAATAGAATAAAGATTATTGTTCGATGTTCATTCGGAAAGTATTCAGACCCCTTCCCTTTTGTTACATTACAGTCTTATTCTAAAATTGATCAAAAATAAATAAATCCTCATCAATCTACACACAATACCCCAGAATGACAAAGCAAACACTGGTTTATAGAAATTTGTACAAATGTAATAAACATTTTAAAAAATGAAATACCTTAAAACATAAGTATTCAGACCCTTTGCTACGAGACTCGAAATTGAGCTCAGGTGCATCCTGTTTCCCGTGATCATCATTGAGATGTTTCTACAACTTGATTGGAATCCACCTGTGGTAAATTCAATTGATTGGACATGATTTGGAAAGGCACACACCTGTCTATATAAGGTCCTACAGTTGACAGTGCATATCAGAGCAAAAAACAAGCCATGAGGTCGAAGGAATTGTCCGTAGAGCTCCGAGACAGGATTGTGTCGAGGCACAGATCTGGGGAAGGGTACCAAAAAATGTCTGCAGCATTGAAGGTCCTCAAGAACACAGTGGCCTCCATCATTCTTAAATGGAAGAAGTTTGGAACCACCAAGACTCTTCCTAGAGCTGGCCGCCCGGCCAAACTGAGCAATCGGGGGAGAAGGGCCTTGGTCAGGGAGGTGACCAAGAACCCGATGGTCACTCTGACAGAGCTCCAGAGTTCCTCTGTGGAGATGGGAGAACCTTCCAGAAGGACAACCATCTCTGCAGCACTCCACCAATCAGGCCTTTATGGTAGAGTGGCCAGATGGAAGCCACTCCTCAGTAAAAGGCACATGACAGCCCGCTTGGAATTTGCCAAAAGGCACCTAAAGACTCTCAGACCATGAGAAACAAGATTCTCTGGTCTGATGAAACCAAGATTGAACTCTTTGGCCTGAATGCCAAGCGTCACATCTGGAGGAAACATGGCACCATCCTTACGATGAAGCATGGTGGTGGCAGCATCATGCTGTGGGGATGTTTTTCAGTGGCAGGGACTGGTAGACTACTCAGGATCGAGGGAAAGATTAACGGAGCAAAGTACAGAGAGATCCTTGATGAAAACCTGCTCCAGAGCACTGAGGACCTCAGACTGGGCAAAGGTTCACCTTCCAACAGCACAATGACCCTAAGCACACAGCCAAGACAACGCAGGAGTGGCTCCGGGACAAGTCTCTGAATGTCCTTGAGTGGCCCAGCCAGAGCCTGGACTTGAACCCGATCTAACATCTCTGGAGAGACCTGAAAATAGCTGTGCAGCGACGCTCCACATCCAACCTGACATAGCTTGAGTGGATCTGCAGAGAATGGGAGAAATTCCCCAAATACAGGTGTGCCAAGCTTATAGCGTCATACCCAAGGAGACTCGAGGCTGTAGTCAAAGGTGCTTCAACAAAGTACTGAGTAAAGGGTCTGAATACTTACGTAAATGTAACATTTCACTTTTTTATTTAAAAAATGGTGGCAAACATTTCTAAAAACCTGTTTTTGCTTAGTCATTTTGGGGTATTGTGTGTAGATTGATGAGGGAAAAAAACAATTTTTATCAATTTTAGAATAAGGCTGTAACGTAACAAAATGTGGAAAAAGTCAAGGGTTCTGAATACTTTCCGAATGGACTGTATGACAAGTTGATCAATTATCAAGACTCAATTACAAATCTCATTGAACACTATTTTGGTGCATGCCTGTCTGCCGATAGCTATTTCCAGCAGGACACGTCTGACTGAATGTCTGTTCTGGCTCATGTCAATTGAAGCCAGAGAGAGAGCGAGGCAGGCAGGACGGCAGTCAGGCAAATTAGAGAGCGTCGTCGTCAGCATCCCTCCACACAGCATGAGAGGAAAGGCTAATTAGAAGTTTCCTGGTATCTTTTATAGAGCTATAAGCGTTTTGCAGAAGCAGGCGCATGGCGACTCCAGAGGAAATGACCCCCAACCTAATGTGCCTTTTCTTTTCTTCTCTGTTGTGCCTGGCTGTGAGGGGCGAGGCGGGGCGTGGTGGGCGGAGAAGGGGCGGGCCCCGGTGCATCCTGCCTGTTAAGGGCCCAGCCCAGGCCCCCAGTGAGTCAGCCACCGGCCCCTCTAATGAGAATCTGGATGAAAGCTGCTTTAATGTGGCGACCCAGTCAAGGTGGCTAATTTGCATCCTTCCAGTTTAATTAAACCCTTGGATCAAACCCTTGGATCTAACGGTAGAGAAGCAGAGGCTGGCAGGGTTCTGTTGGGTCATGGAGGGCCTAGCACCCAGGGCCTGGGGGAGGCTTGGGGCCCGCTGGCTAGAGATTGGGGGATAGGGGTCTGAAAGTGAGGGGTTATATTGGAGTAATGTTGATTTAAAGCTGAAAAGCTACACTTGTAAGTTGCATTATTATGGATCTGGACAGCATCTGTTCTGAGCTGTTCTCATTAACATTCAATGAAAACAGATAAGAGTGTAAGGGTGTCTTTGGTACAGAGAGCATATTAATGATCGCACATTGATAAGTGCTCCATATTACATATTGTATCTCTAAAAAATAAAACTTGTACTATTTCTTGTTAACAAATTATAGTTTTGGCAAGTCGGTTAGGACATCTACTTTGTGCATGACACAAGTAATTTTTCCAACAATTGTTTACAGACTTATTGTTTACAGATTATTTCACTTATAATTCACTGTATCACAATTCCAGTGGGTCAGAAGTTTACATACACTAAGTTGACTGTGCCTTTAAACTGCTTGGAAAATTCCAGAAAATGATGTCATGGCTTTAGAAGCTTCTGATAGGCTAATTGACATAATTTGAGTCAATTGGAGGTGTACCTGTGGATGTATTTCAAGGCCTACCTTCAAACTCAGTGCCTCTTTGCTTGACATCATGGGAAAATCAAAAGAAATCAGCCAAGACCTCCACAAGTCTGGTTCATCATTGGGAGTAATTTCCAAATGCCTGAAGGTACCACGTTCATCTGTACAAACAATAGTACACAAGTATAAACACCATGGGACCACGCAGCTGTCATACCGCTCAGGAAGGAGACGCGTTCTGTCTCCTAGAGATTAATTACTTTGGTGCGAAAAGTGCAAATCAATCCCAGAACAACAGCAAAGGACCTTGTGAAGATGCTGGAGGAAACAAGTACAAAAGTATCTATATCCACAGTAAAACGAGTCCTATATCGACATTACCTGAAAGGCCGCTCAGCAAGGAAGAAGCCACTGCTCCAAAACCGCCATTAAAAAGCCAGACTACGGTTTGCAACTGCACAAGGGGACAAAGATCGTACTTTTTTGAGAAATTTCTTCTGGTCTGATGAAACAAAAATAGAACTGTTTGGCCATAATGACCATCGTTATGTTTGGAGGAAAAAGGGGGTTGCTTGCAAGCCGAAGAACACCATCCCAACCGTGAAGCAGGGGGGTGGCAGCATCATGCTGTGGGGGTGCTTTGCTGCAGGAGGGACTGGTGCACTTCACAAAATAGATGGTATCATGAGGAAGGAAGATTATGTGGATATATTGAAGCAACATCTCAAGACATCAGTCAGGAAGTTAAAGCTTGGTCGCAAATGGGTCTTCCAAATAGACAATGATCCCAAGCATACTTCAAAAGTTGTGGCAAAATGGCTTAAGGACAACAAAGTCAAGGTATTGGAGTGGCCATCACAAAGCCCTGACCTCAATCCTATAGAAAATGTGTGGGCAGAACTGAAAAAGCGTGTGCGAGCAAGGAGGCCTACAAACCTGACTCAGTTACACCAGCTCTGTCAGGAGGAATGGGCCAAAATTCACCCAACTTATTTTGGGAAGCTTGTGGAAGGCTACCCAAAACGTTTGACCGAAGTTAAACAATTTAAAGGCAATGCTACCAAATACTAATTGAGTGTATGTAAACTTCTGACCCACTGGGAATGTGATGAAAGAAATAAAAACTGAAGTAAATCATTCTCTACTATTATTCTGACATTTCACATTCTTAAAATAAGGTGGTGATCCTAACTGACCTAAGACAGGGAATTTCTACTAGGATTAAATGTCAGGAATCTCCCTGTGCGAGAATACTCACTAACCAATCACTGTCGCCCCGATTTAACCTTTACAGAGGGACAAGGCAGGGTTGTGCGCTGTCACCTATGCTCTTCGCCCTAATTATTGAACCTCTCGCTCAAGCGATCAGATCTCATTCAGCAATACACGGATATACAGTGGGGGAAAAAAGTAAGTTCTCCCACTTAAAAAGATGAGAGAGGCCTGTAATTTTCATCATAGGTACACGTCAACTATGACAGACAAATTGAGAAAGAAAAATCCAGAAAATCACATTGTAGGATTTTTAATTAATTTATTTGCAAATTATGGTGGAAAATAAGTATTTGGTCACCTACAAACAAGCAAGATTTCTGGCTCTCACAGACCTGTAACTTCTTCTTTAAGAGGCTCCTCTGTCCTCCACTCGTTATCTGTATTAATGGCACCTGTTTGAACTTGTTATCAGTATAAAAGACACCTGTCCACAACCTCAAACAGTCACACTCCAAACTCCACTATGGCCAAGACCAAAGAGCTGTCAAAGGACACCAGAAACAAAATTGTAGACCTGCACCAGGCTGGGAAGACTGAATCTGCAATAGGTAAGCAGCTTGGTTTGAAGAAATCAACTGTGGGAGCAATTATTAGGAAATGGAAGACATACAAGACCACTGATAATCTCCCTCGATCTGGGGCTCCACGCAAGATCTCACCCTGTGGGGTCAAAATGATCACAAGAACGGTGAGCAAAAATCCCAGAACCACACAGGGGGACCTAGTGAATGACCTGCAGAGAGCTGGGACCAAAGTAACAAAGCCTACCATCAGTAACACACTACTACAGGACTCAAATCCTGCAGTGCCAGACGTGTCCCCCTGCTTAAGCCAGTACATGTACAGGCCCGTCTGAAGTTTGCTAGAGTGCATTTGGATGATCCAGAAGAGGATTGGGAGAATGTCATATGGTCAGATGAAACCAAAATAGAACTTTTTGGTAAAAACTCAACTTGTCGTGTTTGGAGGACAAAGAATGCTGAGTTGCATCCAAAGAACACCATACCTACTGTGAAGCATGGGGGTGGAAACATCATGCTTTGGGGCTGTTTTTCTGCAAAGGGACCAGGACGACTGATCCGTGTAAAGGAAAGAATTAATGGGGCCATGTATCGTGAGATTTTGAGTGAAAACCTCCTTCCATCAGCAAGGGCATTGAAGATGAAACGTGGCTGGGTCTTTCAGCATGACAATGATCCCAAACACACCGCCCGGGCAACGAAGGAGTGGCTTCGTAAGAAGCATTTCAAGGTCCTGGAGTGGCCTAGCCAGTCTCCAGATCTCAACCCCATAGAACATCTTTGGAGGGAGTTGAAAGTCCGTGTTGCCCAGCGACAGCCCCAAAACATCACTGCTCTAGAGGAGATCTGCATGGAGGAATGGGCCAAAATACCAGCAACAGTGTGTGAAAACCTTGTGAAGACTTACAGAAAACGTTTGACCTGTGTCATTGCCAACAAAGGGTTGGCTCCCGAGTGGCTCAGTGGTCTAAGGCACTGCATCGCAGTGCTAGCTGTGCCACTAGAGATCCTAGTTCGAATCCAGGCTCTGTCGTAGCCGGCCGCAACCGGGAGACCCATGGAGCGGTGCACAATTGGCCCAGCGTCGTCTAGGGTAGGGGAGGGAATGGCCGGCAGGGGATGTAGCTCACTTGGTAGAGCATGGCGTTTGCAACGCCAGGGTTGTGGGTTTGATTCCCACGGGGGGTATGAAAAAAATTATTATAAAAAAAATATGTATGTAAGTCGCTCTGGATAAGAGCGTCTGCTAAATGACTAAAATGTAAAATGTGGTATATTACAAAGTATTGAGAAACTTTTGTTATTGACCAAATACTTATTTCCACCATAATTTGCAAATAAATTCATAAAAAATCCTACAATGTGATTTTCTGGATTTTTTTTCTCATTTTGTCTGTCATAGTTGACGTGTACCTATGATGAAAATTACAGGCCTCTCTCATCTTTTTAAGTGGGAGAACTTGCACAATTGGTGGCTGACTAAATACTTTTTTCCCCCACTGTAATACTAAATATACTCTAAATAAGATTTCCCTATACGCAGATGCTATTCTCCTCTATGTAACAGAATCCCAAGCTAGTATTCCAGCTATTCTTGAGGTGATTAATTTATTTGGTACCTTCTCGGGATAAAGAATAAATTGAAAAAATAGTGAATTAATGCCCATACGGTTGCAAAACACCTCCTGGCTAGAACATCTTCCAGTTAAGTTATCTTTAGAAAAATGTATCTACCTTGGAATTGTAGTTACCAAACAATACTCCTTACTATTTAAAGAGAATTTCCCCTCTCTGATGCAAAATCTCAAGGCAAACATACAATTTTGGAGAACTCTCCCAATTTCTCTGCTCAGAAGAATTAATGCCATTAAAATGGTCTTTCTCCCACAACTGCTCTACCTATACCAGAACTTCCCAGTATTCATACCTAAATCCTTTCATAAACAACTGGACTCTATTATCAATCCTTTCATCTGGGATTATAAAACACACAGGATAGGTAAAAAACACCTATGTAAATCCAAGATGGAAGGAGGATTGTCTTTCCCACATTTTATATTTTACTATTGGGCAGCTAACCTCTGCGCTGTTACGTTTTTGCTGGATGACGCACCCCCGCCATCCAGCTGGCTCAGTATGGAGCGTGAGGAGTGTCACCCCTTCTCTATTGGTGCTGTGATTTTGTCACCTGTCAATCTGGAGATGTCACTTTACCGTAACAATCCTATTATACATAGCACAGTCCGAATCTGGAAGCAAATTAAAGTCCACTTTGAGCTTAGACCAATATCATTCATGCTCCCTGTTGCCAGGAATCCCTCCTTTGCCCCCTCTAACCTTGATAACACCTTTGAGCGATGGGGAGAGTTGGGGATAAGTACCATAGGGGATTTATATATAGGAGGGACCTTTGCTTCCTTTGAATCGCTGAGGGAAACTTATAACCTTCCCAGAAGTAACTTTTTCAGATACCTACAAATTAGAGACTATGTTAGAAAACACCTCCCATCATTTGGGAATGCTAAACCTTCCATGTTTGACGGATGCATAAAAATATGCCCCACCTCAGACAAACTGATATCTCGTCTATATGACGCTTTTCAATCTGTTAGCGCACCCTCTACAGATGCCATTAAGGCAAAATGGGAGGAAGAACTAGGGACTGACATTTCGGTAGCAGACTGGGAGGATAGCTTGGAGTATATCCACAGATTACACTATTCCAAAACTAAACTGCATAGGATATTTCCTGATACATCCCCTATGTGTGATAAATGTCAGGCTGAGCAGGGTACACTACTCCACTGCTTTGCCCTATGCTCTAGTCTGTATGGTTATTGGTGTGGAATTTTTGGGGTCCTCTCTGAAGTTCTGGAGACTTCAATAGACCCAGACCCGCTTCTGATAATCCTGGGAGTGTCCGATTCCCTAAACGGATTAACCAACTCCCAAAAACAACTCATCTCTTACAGTCTCATTTCGGCAAAAAAAAAAATCTTGTTGTTTTGGAAAAGGAGGGAAGCGCCCTCTACCAAATTATGGCTCAGCGAATTGGCAAACACTGTACACTTAGAAAGAATTAGATATATTCTGAACAATAAATTATCAACATTTGATCAAATCTGGCAGCCTTTCCTCTCTTACTTGGACCAGTCGGCGCTGTGAATTTGTACTTTTTAACGCACTCTCAATTGTCATATTGTAATCTACCTTTGGGCAGCGTGTGCTGGCCCTGCCACCCGAGCAGTCAGGAGGGGAATAGGGTGGAATAAGGGGGGGGATAAAGGGGGGTATAAGTGGGGGGGTTACATATACCCTTTTTCTTTCTACCTGTCCCTGTTTTGTATGTCTTGTTTTGTAATATTTGTTTTGTGCCCAGAACTCTGGGTCTTGTTGTTCATGTCTGTTCTCTTATGTTTAGATAAGAACTGTACACATGTCTTTCATACCTATACACCATTCTTGTGTGTGTTCAATAAAAAATATTTGAACAGGAATTGTGAAAAACTGAGTTTAAATGTATTTGGCTAAGGTGTATGTAAACTTCCAACTTCCACTGTATTAAAGCATTGGACCTCTCACTAAAGGCTTCAATCGTACAAAAACTATACTTAAATCCAAACTGGTTCTCTAGCAGATTAGTAAGAATGGCTCACCCAGTGTTAAAAAAAATTGCCCTTTCCCTTCATTCAGATTATAACCTCTCACTTTCAGTTATTTGAAAATGAAATCATCGCTATTTTAAAAACAAGCAATAGAAAGCTGGTTGCAATTTCCGTTTAATCCACTGGAAAAGACAGAACAAATATTATGCATTACCGCAAAATTAGAGGCAAGTGGAAAGAGGCCCTGCATTAAAGACCAAAATTGGCTAAAGAAAATTGTGATGAATAAAAAAGGATACCAGTTTCATTTAAGGACCAAAAAAAATGACAGCTGCACCAGACAGGTTGCAAAATATTTGGGAGGAGATTTTCGATGTGCCGATTCCATGACACATGGTTTATGAACTGATACACAAAACGACGCCAGATTCAAAACTTACGAGTTTTTCAATTTAAATTATTATACAAAATTCTTGCAACCAATAGAATGTTATATATATGGGAGATGCAACCATCCCAGCTCTGCAGATTTTGCTGCGAAGACACAGAATCATTAGATCACTTGTTTTGGTACTGCCCATATGTAGCTTGTTTTTGGTCACAGGTTCGGAAATGGCTGAAGAAATTCAGCATTTACTTGGAGCTAACTCTACAAATAGCGCTGCTGGGTGATTTGATAAGTCATAGTCAATTGATCAATAATCTAATAATACTCTTAGCAAAGGTGTTTATCATTAATTTACAATCTGTAGGAACTATGAGAATAGAAAAGTTCAGAACTTTTGTGAAACATCACAGCACAGTGGAAAAATGTATGGCAGCTAGAAATCAAAACTGGATGGTCTTCAGAGCTAGATTGGAGGGATTGAGGGTATCTGAAGACTGGGACTAAAAACAAACAAAAGATAACTAAACGTAAAATATACTGTCCGTGAAATGTATGTAGTATGTATAAGCTGGAAGTGGAAGCCTAAGTATTGTTGACCACTCCGATAATGGGAGGGGCGGTAGGGTTAGGGGAAAATAATAAAGAAGGAAAATATATATATTTTTAACCTTGACCATGAACCCTTTTGGCTCTCAGCCAAACCCTCTCCTAGCCTTACTATAACCTTTAACATATTTCCATATTTAACCTAAACCTCACCCACATCCTGGCACTATCTTTAACCCTAACCTCCCTATGGCATTCGCCCTTGCCCTAGGTCTCAAAGTCTAGACAGAACTGACTCCCTCACTGCTTGTCCTGCTACCCACACTTATTTACAAGGGAGAACTCTTTACATTTACATTTTAGTCATTTAGCAGACGCTCTTATCCAGAGCGACTTACAGTTAGTGAGTGCATACATTTTTTCATACTGGTCCCCCGTGGGAATCGAACCCACAACCCTGGCATTGCAAGCGCCATGCTCTACCAACTGAGCTACATGGGACCTTTCTCTGTGTCTCTTTGTTCAGCTTAATTTCATGTGAGACCAGAATGGTTTCAATTCCATCAAACATCCTTTCATCTTTCCCCCTTTTTTTCAACAAAGGCCTTTCTTCCACTACTCACAAGCATGGATTCATTTGTGTCCATATGTGTTTGTGCTTTGAACTTGCACCAACTTATTTCCCTACAATGAATGAGGAAAAAAACAAACATGTTCTAGGAGGCCCGGGTGGGTCGGGTTGTCGTGGGGTTCTGTGTTACACTAGCAGTAATCAGAATTAGAAATTAGATCATTGTCACGTCGGTGGAAACATGATCAAAGGGGTGACTCTCTCCCTCACACGCATATTTCACTGTTCGGACGAGTTAATGTGACGTCTCCAGTTTCAACTGAAGCACTGTAAACACTACTCACTGTCAAGAGCATTTGTTTCTCAACATGATAACGACTCACAAATCCTACCTCACAGAGAGTTCACGGGCCATTAGAGAGACAAGAAACAGGGATCTGCCTGGAAAAATACGTGTAAATCATTCTCACTCCAAATATTGCCTGGCTTGGAAAGAACAGGGAGGAAAGAAAGAAAGCTGTGGATTTAAAAGGCAACGGTTAGGGGTTCGTGGTGGTAACTGTTGAGTCACTCTATTTCCAGGAGTATGGTCAGTTAGGTGGAGGGAGGAGGAAACTGGTGGAGGGGTGGAGGGTGTGTTCAGTTTCCACCACACTGAGTCATTTATTAACACTGGTGGCTGTGACTCTTGGCAACTAACCCCCCTTTTTCCTTAACATGGCACAACCCAAAGTGTGCCTGCATTTCTGACAAACTCCACTGTGGCCGCAGCAGACTGAACCGCACCCCCCACCCCCCGACACTGCCTGCCCTCCCGTCTCGTACGGCGTTCTAGAGCTGGGCCTGCCAGTGTAATTTCGATACAATTATCCATTTAGGTGAGGGAGGCGTGGGCTAAACTGCAACACATGTACCTCACCGCCTGCAAACAAAGAACAAAAGGTCTGGGGCTGGAGCTGCTCCACCAGGCCCTCTTAAAACCTTCAGCCCTAACTCACTGACCGACTGTCAGACCGCACCCGCCTCCCGTCTGACCAGAAACCACAGTCTCATAGCCATAGAATAGAATGCCTCTCTCTCTCCTACCATGTGTAGTTGTTTAGAGTCAACATTGACACAGGGCATATATAGAACAGCAAGGTCATGCAAGCCAAATAGACTCATCTGCCTAGTATCGATCTATACATGACTGCTCTTCCTTTTCTGTTTCAGTAGCTCAGTTCTGGGTCTGGTAGACTTCCGTTGCCTCTTGTATTGGTATGGTATGTGACCCAGAACAGGGGCAACAACTGTTACTGACTCCATCCCTTATTTACTACTGTTGAGGGAGAGCTTCAGTCCTTTCCTGCTGAATTCCCAAGCGAGGCACTAGTGCTGAGCATTAACAACGTTGGCTGCGTGCGGCCTGGCCCTAAAACAACAGGGTTACACAGCGGGGGACTGTGTTCCTGCAGACTAAGGGACCACCAGGGCTATAGCCATGGTTACAGCCAGGGGTAGGCTACAGCTAGGAATAGGCGTGTAGCCAGTGATAGGGGTACAGCTAACCAGGCCCTGGGCAGCAGTGGTGGTGGGGGAGATGGAGCGGCCATTGGGGCCTGGGTGCTGTGAGTGGGACACTGGGGACTAGGGGGGAAATGGAGTGATGAAGGATTTGTCCCCCTGCCGGACAGGATGTCCAGAGTGAGTGGTGGGAAGGTCACCAGAGGTCAGGGGTCAAGCTTTACCTCTCCTGAACTTTGACAGCTTCCAAATGTTTTAAACATCCCCTGACAAAAGAACACTTTTACTGCCATGGAGGTAAAAAGAGGGAGACATTGTAAAGCCTTGTTTTTGCCAAGGAGCAGCACATAACGCAGCAGTAACAACCCAGCAATACTCACCCAGCAGTGTGAGATTGGACCTGTGTTTATGATGTCATTAAAACATACCATGCAGCTGCAAAAACGCAAGTCAAGAGCACAACTAATACCTATGGGGTAATTTTCTCCTGCCACTATTGTGGGAAAAATATGTTTCTATTTACACTTGTGTGCAGAAAAGCACAAAGAAAAAGTACTTCAGTGAGAACTGTGGTCTATGTGTTAAAAAAGACCTTTAAATTACTGTTACCTCACTCGGGTTTACAGCCAAATTATCACACCGAGCCATCAAGAGCCAAGAACAGAATATCAGCTACAGGGATACATTTTTATGACAAGCATGCTCTACTCAGTGTGTTGCTGGCTTGAAGCAGTCATAAAGAAAAAGGGATCGGAACTTGAGGTTAGACTTGCCTCTCTGCCCGTGCTTGCTATGAGGAGGAGTTGATAAGATTAGAGACATGTTGACAACAGGTGCTATTGAATGTCACCAAATACACTATATACAAAAGTATGAGGACACTCCTTTCAAATTAGTGGATTCGGCTATTTCAGCCACACCCGTTGCTGACAGGTGTATAACATTGAGCACACAGCCATGCAATCTCCACAGACAAACATTGGAGGTAGAATGGCCTTACTGAAGAGCTCAGTGACTTGCAACGTGGCACCGTCATAGGATGCCACCTTTCCAACAAGTCAGTTCGTCAAATTTCTGCCCTGCTAGAGCTTCCCGGTCAACTGTACGTGCCATTATTGTGAAGTGGAAATGCCTAGGAGCAACAACGGCTCAGCCGCGAAGTGGTAGGCCACACAAGCTTCACAGAACGGGACCACCGAGTGCTGAAGGTTGTAATACTCAGTACCGAGTTCCAAACTGCCTCTGGAAGCAACGTCAGCACAAGAACTGTTCGTCGGGAGCTTCATTAAATGGATTTCCATGGTTGAGCAGCCGCACACAAGCCTAAGATCACCATGCGCAATGCCAAGCGTCAGCTGGAATGGTGTAAAGCTCGCCGACATTGGACTCTGGAGCAGTGGAAATGTGTTCTCTGAGTGATGAATCACGCTTAACCATCTGGCAGTCCGACGGACAAATCTGGGTTTGGCGGATGCCAGGAAAACGCTACCTGCCCGAATGCATAGTGCAAACTGTAAAGTTTGGTCTGGGGCTGTTTTTCATGGTTCGGGCTAGGCCCCTTAGTTCCAGTGAAGGGAAATCTTAACGCTACAGCATACAATGACATTCTAGACCATTCTGTGCTTCCAACTTTGTGGAAGGCCCTTTCCTGTTTCAGCATGACAATGCACCCGTGCACAAAGCGAGGTCCATACAGAAATGGTTTGTCGAGATCAGTGGAAGAACTTGACTGGCCTGCACAGAGCACTAACCTCAACCTCATCGAACACCTTTGGGATGAATTGGAACGCAGACTGCGAGCCAGGCCAAATCACCCAACATCAGTGCCCGACCTCTAATGCTCTTATGGCTAAATGGAAGGAAGTCCCTGCAGCAATGTTCCAACATCTAGTGGAAAGCCTTCACAGAAGAGTGTCTGTTAAAGCAGCAAAGGGGGGACCAACTCCATATTAATGGCCATGATTTTGGAATGAGATGTTCACATACTTTTGGTCATTTAGTGTACCTCTGTGTTGAATACTTAAAAGCGGAAATGCACCCACTGATTTAGCCTCGTTTTTTGGCTTGCTCCTCAAGAAATGTTGGCGGCCATGACAGAACCCAAACGTGAGTTGGCTTAGAGGTGTGGCTTGATGTGGTTGTTTCTTGGGTGTGTCCTTGCCACCACCAAGACACACCCATCTGTCAGAACCTTGCCCACAGCTGTTTCCTCTTCTTCTTCCATGAGGTTTAACGGCGGTTGGCATCCAATATTTGCTGCATTACTGTCACCAACTAGACTGGAGTATAACTCTCTTATAAATCAACAAATACCCTACCATCTAACCCAACACCCTACTACACTATTTAAACCTATCTAGTCCTACCTCAGGCTAACAGTCTGAAAAGACAGGACACACCCTGTAACTCTTCTGACGTCAAATCTCGTACACCCAAATAAATTATCTGCAGTTGCCACCACTACCTCTATTTTCTGAGACTTACGTTCCATCCCTGCAGTACAGTTGATAACCATTGCTATGAACCCTAAAAAGCCAATCTTAATAAAGCATATATCACTCTTTGGCCTTTCCCTCTATACTGATACATATCTAATATTCACACAACTCCTCTCAGGATCCCTCCCCCTTGAACCATCTTCTTCAATTTTCTTCACTGCCTCAGCATATGACACCCTCTACTCTACCTGGTAACCTCAACTTGCCTCTCTCGCAGCAGACACTTCAGATCCCCAGCCCCACGGGCACCCCTACAATTAACACATACTGCTTCTTTCCCCAATGCTACACATTCATTTGTCTCATGCCCTTCTGCACACTTCTCACACCTTGGAATCTCCCTCCTGCACACTGCCACATTCCCATAAGCTTGACACCTGTAACAACGTAATGTATTCGGCACATAAGTTCGTACAGGATAACTGAAGTATCCTAACATCACTTTGTCGGGCAGAGACTCAAGATCAAAACTCAAAAGAACAGACAATGACTCTTCTGTTTCACCACTCACACCACCCTTTCTGTGTCGCACCAAATGACAAGCATCACAAACACTGGGAATCTTCCCCTTCAGTTGGTCCACTTTCACATTTACCGCTATCCCAGTAATCACTCCTTTCAATTTGCTCTTGAGAGCAAAAGTCGTCACATCTCTTGTCCCAATTATCACAAGACCACTTCGGGTTACCTTCACCGATTCCATAGCACCCAACTCTGTTTTCACCCACCCTGAAACCACAAATGGATAAGCCAAAAGGCAGGGGTCGCCTTCTACAAAAATGTCACTCCTACTGTCACAGACTCATCTTTATCCTCTGAGGATTTCGCCACACCTGCCACCTCCGATAATTCTCCCTCAATTGAATTTCTCCTCCAGACCTCGATCCGGAGTTCCACTCACTTGGCTTATACTTTCTACCATTCTTCTTCGACAAACCATCTCCCTTTTTTCCTCAATTTTTACCCGACTCAAGCTCACCCTCTTCCTCCTTCTCTCTCTTCGACTTCCTCTGCCTCTCTTTTTCCCTCTATTCCTCCTCAGTATTCCAAGTATATGTCTCCTTATGATACTATTGTACTTCTAACATATATTTCATTATTGCCCTCTCAAGGGATGCCATTTCAGCTGTTTCCCCCCACTCAATCACAACAAACAAACCTCCTGCACGTTGAGTTCAATAACTACAGGCAGATGTATGGTGAGATGCCGGAGGAAGCTTTGAATAGGTCAGTAGCCTACAGAGTAATATGAGAAGAATGCAATTGCTGAATTTATGTAGATTTTCTAAACTAAGTGTTTGGATCACTTTCAAATGTAGTAACAGGTCAGTGTAGAATAAACACCCTTTACATAATACCATAGTAGCAGTGTTCTGCTAATATAACAATGTGCGCACCTTTAACTTTTCATTGTCATTCCCAGCCGATACAGATACTGTGCCTCTCCCTCCCCATATTGACTGATACCATTCAATTCAATAATAAAAAAAGACAATACAAGTAAAAGTTGTGTCTAGTAAAAATGTTATGCCAAGTGCCAGGTCTCTCTCCATTTAGAGACATCAGTTTCAAGCCCGTCGGTCGGTCTGGCCTTCTTCACATTATCTTGCAAGTCTCCATGTGCTAGCTCCATACATGTTTCTGTGAACACATACACACATAGTCACTGTTCGTTCTATTACCGACGGCAGTTAGGATAGTTCATATCTGACACACAAACAGGTACTATGTCAGATAAAACCTATTCAATTATGGTCTCCCCATCAAACAACCGAGGCTGGCGTCTGGCAAAGCATCTACAGTCCATCTGTAGAAATAGGCAGAGTTGAGGCAGAGTTCATCAGTGACACATGGAATGAAAAGGGTATTGCAAATGCTGGACATTTCTGCTATACTGTATTATTAGTAATCCCCTTCAGTCCCACACTGTGGATGTGTTGAGTGCAAGGTCTCTCTCCATTCAGAGACGTCAGTATCAAGCTGGTCTGTCGGCCAGGACTCCATCACATCCTTTTGCAAGTCTCCCAAGTGCTGCCTCCATAGATGCATCTGTGAACACACACACAGTCACTGTTCTATTGCCAATGGCAGTTAGGATAGGTGATATCTGACAAACAACAAACTATCTTGAAGTTTGAACAGGTCAGACTAAACCTACCTAATTCTGGTCTCCCCATCCATGACCGTTGGTGAGCAGGCAAGAGGTGAGGCTGGAGGTAAAGTCTTTGCCAGTGTCCCATTGTTGGGCATGGCAGCGTAGATCAGCTCCTGACCCCTCATCAAAGATACTGGTCGGTCACACACAAACACACAGACAGAGCACTGATTACATTATCAATGGTGGTTATGATTAGCATGGTGGAACCAACCTGATCGCTGCATTCACCTTTCTATTTCACTTCAGATATCATGATATGTGAAGTGAAATAGAATGGAAACGCAGCGGTCAGGCTGGTTCCACCAGGCTAGATTATGAAGGTGAATTGGGACAAAACTCATAACTGTTTTGACCAGGTAAAATGTCACCAACCTGATTCCATTTATAGAAATGCTCACAGCGAGGTCATGTCTACGTGATGCTGAGGGTTCCTTTGCTGGTCTTTTCTATGTTGCATGTTCGACTGCAAACTGGACATCTCTCGAACAACTGCAGCAGGCAATCCTTATAAACAATGTACTCCCTCATCTTATGAGGTGGTGTTGACTGGGAGGGCATGTGACATGAGTGTTGCAACCGAGGACAGTGGTAAATTGCATTTTGTTATAAAGAAAGGACAAATGTTTTTGATATTGGACTTCACAACCAAAATGACTCTACTACTTGTATCTGCATGGCTGGGCAATTAACCTACTAGTTTATCAAACCGGGTATTTTTTAATACAACTTTTCACACAACACACATTACCGTTGTTGATGAAGCCGTCTGTGTCATCAGGGCAGTAACTCGGGTCAAACTAATGCTAGGTCGTCACTAGTTACCACAGCCACAAAGTCATAAAGCCTGCCTACTTCTACAATTTATCTTCTTAAAAGGTAATTTTAAACCTAACCTTAATTAACCCTAACCTTATATAGTCAAAATTGGCTATATCGTAAAAGTTTATGAAAACAAAAATTTGATTTTTGGTCTTAATATAAGGCAAGGTTGTCAAAACTCATTTTGTCTTCAGCGAGGTACGAAGGGCCACACTGAAAACATGTTATATTTCCTCACTGTCAAAATGGACAAAAAATAGAATCCATCATTTTGGGGATTTTCAATGCTTCCTGACTGTCTAGCATTCATTTTGGTTGTTTTAGTGAGCTGGACACAGTCAAGGAACTGTATGAATGTAGGACCATTATCATTTCTACACAGTTTCAATTTGGTTTGAGTAATTTTTAAGTATATTGAGTTTGTTTTCAATCCAGCATGCGGGTGGTTTGATTAATAAAAATAACAAAAAATATACACTACCGTTCAAAAGTTTGGGGTCACTTAGAAATGTGCTTGTTTTTGATTTTTTTGACCATTAAAATAACATCAAATTGATCCGAAATACAGTGTAGACATTGTTAATGTTGTAAATGGCTATTGTAGCTGGAAACGGCAGATTTTTTATGGAATATCTACATAGGCGTACAGAGGCCCATTATCAGCAACCATCAGTCCTGTTTTCCAATGGCACGTTGTGTTTGCTAATCCAAGTTTATCATTTTAAAAGGCTAATTGATCATTAGAAAACTATTTTGCAATTATGTTAGCACAGCTGAAAACTGTTGTTCTGATTAAAGAAGCAATTAAACTGCCCTTCTTGAGACTAGTAGAGTATCTGGAGCATCAGCAATTGTGGGTTCGATTACAGGCTGAAAATGGCCAGAAACAAATAACTTTCTTCTGAAACTCGTCAGTCTATTCTTGTTCTGAGAAATGAAGGCTATTCCATGCGAGGAATTGCCAAGAAACTGAAGATCTTGTACAACGCTGTGTACTACTCCCTTCACAGATCAGCGCAAACTGGCTCTAACCAGAATAGAAAGAGGAGTGGGAGGCCCCGGTGCACAACTGAGCAAGAGGACAAATACATTAGTGTCTCTAGTTTGAGAAACAGACACCTCACAGGTCCTCAACTGGCAGCTTCATTAAATAGTACCCGCAAAACACCAGTCTCAACGTCAACAGTGAAGAGGTGACTCCGGGATGCTAACCTTCTAGGCAGAGTTGCAAAGAAAAAGCCATATCTCAGACTGGCCAATAAAAAGAAAATATTAAGATGGGCAAAAGAACACAGACACTGGACAGAGGAAGATTGGAAAAAAAGTGTTATGGACCGACAAATCGAAGTTTGAGGTGTTCGGATCACAAAGAAGAACATTTGTGAGACGCAGACCAAATGAAAAGATGCTGGAGGAGTGCTTGATGCCATCTGTCAAGCATGGTGAAGGCAATGTGATGGTCTGGGGGTGCTTTGGTGGTGGTAAAGTGGGAGATTTGTACAGGGTAAAAGGAATCTTGAAGAAGGAAGGCTATCACTCCATTTTGCAACACCATGCCATTCCCTGTGGACGGTGCATGATTGGAGCCAATTTCCTCCTACAACAGGACAATGACCCAAAGCACAGCTCCAAACTATGCAATAACTATTTAGGGAAGAAGCAGTCAGCTGGTATTCTGTCTATAATGGAGTGGCCAGAACTGTCACCGGATCTCAACCCTATTGAGCTGTTGTGGGAGCAGCTTGACCGTATGGTACGGTACGTAAGAAGTGCCCATCAAGCCAATCCAACTTGTGGGAGGTGCTTCAGGAAGCATGGGGTGAAATCTCTTCAGATTACCTCAACAAATTGACAACTAGAATGCCAAAGGTCTGCAAGGCTGTAATTGCTGCAAATTGAGGAATCTTTGACGAAAGCAAAGTTTGAAGGACACAATTATTATTTCAATTAAAAATCATTATTTCTAACCTTGTCAATGACTACATTTCCAATTCATTTTGCTATATTTCCTATTCAAACTCATTTCATGTATGTTTTCATGGAAAACAAGGAAATGTGTAAGTGACGCCAAACTTTTGAACGGTAGTGTATGTGGACACCCCTTCAAAATGAGTGGATTCGGCTATTTCAGCCACACCCGTTGCTGACAAGTGTACAAAATTGAGCACACAGCCATGCAATCTCCATAGACAAACATTGCAGAGCTCAGTGACTTGCAACGTGGCACCGTCATAGGATGCCACCTTTCCAACAAGTCAGTTCGTCAAATATCTGCCCTGCTAGAGCTGCCACGGTCAACTGTAAGTGCTGTTATTGTGAAGTGGAAACGTCTAGGATCAATAACGGCTCAGCCGCGAAGTGTTAGGCCACACAAGCTTCACAGAACGGGACCGCCGAGTGCTGAAGCACGTAAAGATCGTCTGTCCTCGGTTGCAACACTCACTACCGAGTTCCAAACTGCCTCTGGAAGCAACGTCAGCACAAGAACTGTTCGTCGGGAGCTTCATGAAATGGGTTTTCATGGCCGAGCAACCGCACACAAGCCTAAGATCACCATGTGCAATGCTAAGTGTCGGCTCTTGTGGTGTAAAGCTCGCCGCCATTGGACTCTGGAGCAGTGGAAACGTGTTCTCTGGAGTGATTAATCACGCTTCACCATCTGGCAGTCCGACGGATTAATCTGGGTTTGGCAGATGCCAGGAGAACGCTACATGCCAAATGCATGGTGCCAACTGTAAAGCTTGGTGGAGGAGGAATAATGGTCTGGGGCTGTTTTTCATGGTTCGAGCTAGGCCCCTTAGTTCCAGTGAAGGGAAATCTTAACGCTACAGCATACAATTACATTCTAGACGATTCTGTGCTTCCAACTTTGTGGCATCAGTTTAGGGAAGGCCCTTTCCTGTTTCAGCATGACAATGCCCCCGTGCAGAAAGCGAGGTCCATACAGAAATGGTTTGTCAAGATCGATGTGGAAGAACTTGACTGGCCTGCACAAAGCCCTGACCTCAACCCCACTGAACACCTTTGGGATGAATTGGAAGGCCGACTGCGAGCCTAATTGACCAACATCAGTGCCCGACCTCAGTAATGCTCATGGCTGAATGGGGAAGCAATTCCCCGCAGAAACGTTCCAACATCTAGTGGAAAGCGAGTGGAGGCTGTTATACCAGCAAAGAGGGGACCAACTCCATATTAATGCCCATGATTTTGGAATGAGATGTTCGACGAGCAGGTGTCCACATACTTTTGGTCATGTAGTGTGTGTATATATATATACACATACACACACACACATATATGAGAGAGATTTTTTTTTTTTACTCAAAATTAGTTTGACAACCCTGCTTTAAATTAATACCAAAAAGCAAATGTGTCTTCATAAACTTTTACGATATAGCCAATTTTGGCTTTGTGGCTGTGGTAACTAGTGGACACCCTAATTGTATGCATTACAGATGTAGACTGACTGTAGCTCCAGATTGGATTAGATTCAGGCCGGTGACGCCATTACGGTTTGTTGCTCCTAGTTCACTGTATAAGTCAGACTCAAACATGAGTTAGCTACCACCATAGCTGCATCCATTATTTAGTTTTGCCCTAGACAATACAAAAGAATTAACTTGCAAATCCGACTTGTAGGCTAACGTTAGCTGGCCTGTAGTAAGCTAGCATTATGAAATGATAAACGTTACATAACCAGCGGTATCTACATAATACACAATAAACTTGTATGAGCTACCTACACAAACGTTAGCTAAAACGTTAGCTAGCCTGCCTCACTAGATAACATTAGCTAGCCATTCTCGCTATATTAAAAGATAGCTACTTACATAACCAGCAATAACGTTATCTAAGAGTTAGCTAAATTATACCAGAGAGGTCATTATATTCCAGTTTCTCTGGCTATACTCACCACCACCGATCGTTGCACACCAAGATAGCGTTACTGGTGCAGACTTGGGGACCGACGAACTCCAAGCACCTATTCAACATCCTACGGTCCTTCGGCAGGGCATGCAAACCATAGAACTTTGGCTGTGGAGGCATTGTCAATCCGTTTAGGGTCCGTGATCCTTTGAATGCGTTGGGGGTGATGAAACAATGATGCCCCATTCAATGAAGGGAAGCGGAGGGGCGATTTGCACGTGGAGCTTGGCAAAAGGGGGTAAGATTTGTTGACATAATTGTAATCCAAACTCATCCTTAATTTACTCGTTGTGACGCACTGAGGTTCCAAACTCAGTTTTAGGCGAGACTGACTTTACGACCAAAACTATCCTATTTACACTTTGTAGTCAATTTTGACACTAGAATAAATGTTTCTGACTTATATCGATGCCACATAGGCCATTTTCAAAGGGATTAGTTGCTCTTTAAGTGTGGCTAGAGTTGCCCTTTCGCTCTGTCTGTCTTTCTGTTGTACTGCAGCCTGACATATATCTGCATCAGTGGCGGCTCCTCCGAGGAGGAAAGGGAGGACCATCCTCCAAAGTGAATTTCATAAAAATAGTAAAACATTAAAAACGTTATCCTTTTTAGGTAAAACTATAGTAAATATATTCACGTGACCAAATAATTGATTAAAACACACTGTTTTGCAATGAAGGTCTACAGTAGCCTCAACAGCACTCTGTAGGATAGCACCATGGTGTAGCCGGAGGACAGCTAGCTTCCATCCTCCTCTGGGTACATTCACTTCAATACAAAACCTAGGAGGCTCATGGTTCTCACCCCCTTCCATTGACTTACACAGTAATTATAACAACTTCCGGAGGATGTCCTCCAACCTATCAAAGGATCAGAGAATGACTAGTACTGAAAGCATAAGCTACAGCTAGATAGCACTGCAGTGTATAAAATGTGGTGAGTAGTTGACTCAAAGAGAGAGAAAGACAATAGTTTAACAGTTTTGAACAAATTCATTTCTTCAAAAATGAAGGAAAAGCAAGAGAGAGATAGTGGTCCTCTGTAGCTCAGCTGGTAGAGCACGGCGCTTGTAACGCCAAGGTAGTGGGTTCGATCCCCGGGACCACCCATACACAAAAAAAATAATAATGTATGCACGCATGACTGTAAGTCGCTTTGGATAAAAGCGTCTGCTAAATGGCATATTATTATAGAGAGATAGAGAGAGAGAGCTATAGTTCATTCTTTTCTTTTCACTTTCACTTACTTTGCTAGAAAATGCAGCTAGCTAGTTTAGCCTACTCAAACACCCAGCTCAAACAGAGGGATGCTATGTTAGCTAGCTGACTATGACTATCCAACACAACACTGAAACTCTTCCAAGGTAAGCTTTTGGTTTTACTAATTTATTGCCACCGGGGTCCACTGGTGTAAGTGCTAAACTGCTTACTGAACTGCTTACAGACTGTACACTGTAACGTGACTGCATGATTGGAAGCAAACGGAACGAAACGGGGATAAACATACCTGAATTTGTCCAATAGAAACTCTAGTTTGCAACTGTTGGACTAATGATTACACCCTAGATCAGCTAGATGCAGGCAAGAGTGTGCAAGGCAGTATTGAATGTGTCACTGTCTGTCAATGTGTCACCTCACATTTTTCTCTCGACCTGTGTGCACCTACGTTGTAAACTTTCATTCGTGGGCTAGGTTGTAGCAACCTCATGATGGGTATAGGGAAAATTTTTGTATCATTTAGTAGCCTAAACCTATCGATGTTACATTGAACTGGGTGAATGGAATATGAATGACGGTCATCCAATATGCTGTAATAGAAATAAGGCCATGCTCATGAAAAAAAGTTCTCCCTCATCTTAAACGGCACCGACCGCCACTGATCTGCATAGTGTTTTTTGCTGCAGGGGAGGACCTGAGTGGAACCAGTCAGGGGCCTCAGAGGGGTCACTAGAGTTTTTTCATACCCTGTTTAAACTTAATAAAAAAGATTGAATTTGGCAAAGTCACATCCTTTGCTTTGTGTCACAAACTTACAACAATCCTAAACTATCAGCCCATATCCTTCACAAATTGCCCTGAGCCTCTGTACTAAACACATACTGAAACTACACGTTTTAGCCTGTTTTGTTCTGGGGCTGTTCTAGGGCCATTGTTAGTTAATGACTTCAGTAAGACTTCAGCACAGTCCCAGAGGGAACAGGGCCACTATAACTCACAGTTCCACATTACTCCAGGGGACCAAACAGGAAAGCAGCAAGCTACCTTCACTCCCCACGCAGGGAGGCTGGAGGGAGGGGAGGCCCTGCTCAGAGTTCCAACATGACGAGGAGGACACAGAGGAGGAGGTCCTTGGAGGTCGATCAGGGCCAGTTCAACCACCTCAGTCATCAACGGAGTAATTACCCTCCCTCCTCCTCCTTATCCTCCACGCACGCACAAGCACACGCACACACGCACACACACACACACACACACACACACACACACACACACACACAGAGCAGCTGCTATCCTCACCCGCCCCATGGATCAGGCCGACCGAGGCCAGCACAGGAAGGGCCGGGGGCTCCGTCCCACCACTCAGCGCTCCTCACAACTCCTCAGAGTCTTTCAGCATCACTGGACTGGAGCAGATTTATAGTGGTGCAGGCGGCAGGTCGTCTATTTCAGCGGTCTCCTTGACGAGTGCTCTGGCAGAGAATACCCGGTCTACAGTCCCCCAGCAGCTATCCCTCCTCAATCTCAACCAGAAGGATTTCGCAAAAGCTACACCGCCAAAACCCTCTACCCCCCCCCTCCAACCACCTTCCAGACAGAGTTTACTCTTTTACCACACAACCTCACACACTGACACACACGCAACATTAATTTCTCATTGTGTCAGAGGGGGGGTGAAACCTCCGACAGTGTGTATAAAATAAGGAACACTGGATTAAATTACCAGCACTATAAACAAGCACCCGGGTGTAGTGTGACAGGAGCAGCCGGTAAAGAATCCTCTCTTTGTTCTCGTGAGGTTTGATATGAAACCTGACAGAAGAGCTGCTGGGGTTCTGTAACGCTAACAAGTCATAAACTGGCATTGTTACAATGCTCACTTGTACATTTTCATTTTGCATTGGTTACGTAAATGAAACCATATTCTTTTAATAAAGCCAGGGCTGCCAGTCATGTCGGTTCTGTCAAATATAATCACATCTAGGGGCTAACTTGGGGGCAGTAGGCCTCCTGCATTACAATCCCTCTTCATGTGCTCTTTGACTGAAGAATCAAGGCTAGGTCACACTACTACACTACCAAGGTTCTGGGGAAAAGTTGTCTTAGTAACATTTCAGGGAGTAGGTCCGATATGGGACAGGTTTGGAGTTATTCAGTTAACTAGCTAAGGTATGAGAGAATATAGAGAGGGATGTATTCATTAAAGGAGTCAAAGAGAATTGGAACATAAGGCATGTCTGTATGTAATTGTATTGTAATTGTGTATTTACATGATGTGTATGAAATGTAAGTGTGTGGACATTGACTAGGGATGAGGTCAGACGCTCCTTGGCCCTACCGATGATGATGAGGGTGTAGTTGAGGGCGATGCTTCCGAAGCCGTTGGTGACACGGCACACATACACCCCCGCGTCCCCCAGCTCCACCTCTTTGATCTTCAGGCTCTGTTTCAGCACTCGGTAGCGGCTCCAGCCCGGGTGGACGTTACGCCCGTCCTTCACCCACAGGATCAGGGGAGGAGGGTCACCCTCTACGGGGCACGCCAGCCGCACTGTCCGCCCCAACCTGGCTGTCTGGCGCTCTTCCACCTGACGACTCACCCACGGGGGACCTGAGAGAGGGGCAGACAACGATCACATTGTCTTCATTTTCTCTACAGCTTTTTTTATTTCAAAATATCAGAATCAGAATCATCTTTATTCACCAAGTTCATTTACACATACTCAGAATTGTACTTGGTGATATGGTGCTGCTAGTGATAGACAAGGTTAGCTGAACATAGTGCTGTAAGAGAATGAGCAGTGGATAAACAAATATACAGTGAATTACAGTTGATATACAAATGTAGCTACAGTATCAATATAAATATATCTAAATGCAGAGAGAGGAACCGAGTGCAAATGCAGTAGAGTGCAGTTATTTTGGGTGCAGTACACCCCTTGTCACATTGGATCATGATGTCATGGGGAATAATCACAGACACAAATTATATAATTTCCTCTACAGGTAGATTGTTTTATGAATTACTTATTCAGAAGAGTTAGTTGCCAGACCTGGGCATCTGGTAAGACATACTAACGTTCTGCTAATGAAAATAGCCTGCAGTGGACAGGGTCCATGTTTGAATCATGCTCCAATGGCCATGATACTGGACAAGCAGTTCAATTCATACAGCAAAGATTGTCATTGGAATCATAGCATAGTTTCCTTTCATAATTCCCTAGATTTTTCTTTCCATTTCCATGTTATTCTATCAATGAGCCTTGTGTAGCCTATTTGCTGGCTAAATCATTTAAATTAACTGAATATAATTCCACCATTCAAGAATGGTCAGTACTGTATGTTTCATTTGCAGTTTAATTCAAACACATGTTGATGTTTTGCTGCACCTTGTAAATAAAACACCTCCGTCTATCATATGAAACATCCTATTCATTCTGTTGCTGCTGGCGACACAGGGTCTAAGACGAACCATGGAAAATAAAATGGAATTAGAGAGGCAGACCAGAGACCTGCTTCCCCTAACTAACACTAAGCCTGTCTCTGAGTCAACTACTGTCTGACTTGGTGAGGGGGGCCCTGTGTCAACTTCACTCCACAGACATGCATGCACGCTCCCACACACACACTGTACGTACCCAGGCCCTCAGACACAGATGTGTAAGAAGGTGTGTATAGAACCGGGTTAGGCTACCCTAAGGGATCTTTCCTATCAGCAAAACAAACCAACTTGGGTCTGCCCAAAGTCCACAGAAAAACATAAACCTTCTCAAGAAGAGCGAGGGGCAACTTTGGGGGCTTTTACTCAACTATTTGAGGGGGATTCTTTTTCTTTTTTTTTACGGTCCTTGCGTGCACAAGGTTCTTTTCATCCTGTTCGTTCAGTGCTCCGAGACTCCCATGAGAGCTCCCTTTCCATTTCCTCTGGCCCTCCTGAGCTGCGTCAGCACTGGGGCCCGGGTGTGTGTGTTGGACGGCAGTGGGCCGGGGTGTGTGTGTGTGTGTTGGACGCAGTGAGCCGGTGTGTGTGTGTATGTGTGTGTATGTAAGTGTGTGTGTGTGTGAGTGTTGGACGGCACTGCTCATTCATGCCTGGTACTGTCACATCCTGTAGCAGTACCAGCAGCTGCTGTGAGAACTGCCAAGATTATAGGAATCTAAAAATGAAACTCCCTCCACCAAAAAATTCTCTCTCTTTCTCTCAATTCCATTTCAATTTCAATTGAAGGGCTTTATTGGCATGAGAAACATATGTTAACATTGCCAAAGCAAGTGAAGTAGATAGTAAACAAAAGTGAAATAAACAATAAATATTAACAGTAAACATTACACTCAGAAGTTCCAAAAGAATAAAGACATTTCAAATGTCATATTATGTCTATATACAGTGTTGTAACATTGTGCAAAAAGTACAAATGGGAAAATAAATCTCCCTCTCTTTCTCTACTATCTCTCTCTGTGCGACACATCTCTGTGTAGGAGTGAAGTGTTTTCACCTGGAGGCCACTGGTTGCCATCCAGGAAAGTGCCAGAAGAAAAAGCGGCAGAAAAAGTAAAGATTGTTTTGGTGCTGGAATTAAATTACAGCACATTCCAGAACGTTAGGCCGAGATGGTTTCACTGACTGCATCAAGTATGGAATAAAAATTCCTCCGTCTCCACGAATAGAACATAAAGGTAGAGCATATTCCAGCAGGTTGGAATGTTAACACAGCATTCTCTCATAAACGGATCGTTACATTGACCTTCGCTAATTCACCTCACTGGGAAAAAGGTTGGCTTCAAGACATTCATACCATGTGTAAGATATTACTTAGTATTGGCAGTCTAAACGCAGGTTGGGTGGATCCATGGAGGCCTCATTGAAACAGCTTGGCTGCCAGTAAGTCAGCACCCGATGAGGGTGAGACAGAGAGGCTGAAGTAAAGAGCCTCCTTCTCCCCAATCTGATCCAACAGCCTGCTCCCTCGCACGTGTCGCCGCTCACTCACAGTCACACATAACCGGGGAGAGGTGGAATGAAAGACAGGAGAGGAGGAGGAGAGTAGAGGGGGTATAGAAAAGCACGACTGTCTGTTTGTCAGTCAGGCTGGTGCCGTCGTGGAGGTGTCTGGTTGAAACGCAAGTCGGCTCATAGCCTGGCGGATCGGCCTGGGGAGCTGGAAGAAGGGTGGAGAGGGGCGTTGAGCCGATCTCGGGTGCTGACAGACACTACACCCCACTGTAGACACACTGAGGCTGGGGGATGGATGGGGGATGGAGGGGTGGATAGACAGAGACCCCTACTACCACTCTGTGAGCCTGACTGGATCTGTTGGCAGATGGGGCGCCAGCCTGAGCCCTCCCAATCTGCCTGGGTATGAAGGGGTGAGGGGGAGATGCGCGCGCACACACTCACACACACTGCTGGGTGCTGAGAGAGATCAGAGACAAGTGCTCTAATGTAACAGGCCTGGTGGGACCGTAGGGCAGGGTGGGAGTGATATGACTGTCTGAGACATAGGCAGGGCCCCCCTAATGTATAGAGTGTGCGTGTGTGTGAGAGAGAGAGAGAAAGAGAGAGAGAAAGAGAACCCCCACTAATACACCCAACCAAGCCCCATCCTGCAACCTAAGAGGCATTCACCAGATGTTCAGCATGCTCTGCTCAAACCTAATGGTCTGAGCCTAAACCACACGGATAACAACAGTTGACACTGAGGAACACAAAGCTTTTACAATCTCATGCTGGACTATACAAGGTCTGAGGTCATCTCTTTGGCCTAAAGAGCAGGAACCCAGACTTCACCAAAGAAAATACATTGTCATCCTACAAGAAACATGGTATAGAGGTTGCCCTCTTGGTTACAGGGAGCTGGTATTCCCATCCACCAAACTACCAGGTGTGAAACAGGGAAGAAACTCAGACTCTGTTAATTTGGTATAGGGCAGACGTAACCCACTCTATTAAATTAATCAAAACAGGAGCATTTTACATCTGGTTAGAAATAATAAATGATCTCTAAAGAGAAAAATGTAGTCATGTGTGCTACCTACATCCCCCCAATAGAATACCCATACTTTAACGATGACAGCTTCTACTTCCTAGAGGGGGAGATCAACCACTTCCAGGCCCAGGGACATGTACTAGTCTGTGGTGACCTAAATGCCAGAATTGGACAAGAACCTGACACTCTCAGCACTCAGGGGGACAAACACCTACCTGGAGGTGACAGCATTCCCTCCCCAATATGCCCCGGTAGACACAACTACGACAAAACAACCAACAAAAATGGGTCACAACTCCTGCAGCTCTGTCACATGCTGGGTCTGTACATAGTCAATGGTAGTATTCGAGGGAACAACTACGGTAGGTACACCTAAAGCTCATCCCTTGGCAGTAGTACTGTAGATTCCTTTATCACCGACCTCAACCCAGTCTCTCAGAGCATTCACAGTCAGCCCACTGACACCCCTATCAGATCACAGCAAAATCACAGTCTACTTGAACAGAGCAATACAGAATCATGAGACATCAAAGCCAAACAAACTGCATACTATTAAGAAATGCTATAAATGGAAGCAAAGTAGTGTAGAAACCTACCAAAAAACTATTGAGCAACAACAAATTCAATCCCTTTTAGACAACTTCCTGGACAAAAAGTTTCACTGCAATAGTGAAGGTGTAAACTTGGCAGTAGAAAGCCTAAACAGTATATTTTGACCTTTCAGCTTCCCTATCAAATCTAAAAATGTCAAACAGACACCCTCAGAAAATTAACAACAATGACAAAGGGTTTGATGAAGAATGCAAAAACCTAAGAAAGCAATTGAGAAACCTATCCAACCAAAAACACAAAGACCAAGAAAACCTGAGCCTTCACTATGGTGAAACACTAAAACAGTAGAGAAATACATTAAGGAAAAAGAAGGAACATCACTTCAGAAACCAGCTCAATGTAATCCATAGAATCTAACCACTTATGGGAAAATTGGAACACACTAAACAAACAACACGAAGAGCTACAGTTGAAGTCGGAAGTTTACATACACCTTAGCCAAATACATTTAAACTCAGTTTTTCACAATTCCTGACATTTAATCCTAGTAAAAATTCCCTGTCTTAGGTCAGTTAGGATCACAACTTTATTTTAAGAATGTGAAATGTCAAAATAATAGAAGAGAGAATTATTTATTTCAGCTATTATTTATTTAATCACATTCCCAGTCGGTTAGAAGTTTACACATACTCAATTAGTATTTGGTAGCATTGCCTTTCAATTGTTTAACTTGTTTCGGGTAGCCTTCCACAAGCTTCCCACAATAAGTTGGGTGAATTTTGGCCCATTCCTCCTGATAGAGCTGGTGTAACTGAGTCAGGTTTGTAGGCCTCCTTGCTCGCACATGCTTTTTCAGTTCTGCCCACAAATGTTCTATAGGATGAGGTCAGGGCTTTGTGATGGCCACTCCAATACCTTGACTTTGTTGTCCTTAAGCTATTTTGCCACAACTTTGGAAGTATGCTTGGGGTCAATGTCCATTTGGAAGACCCATTTGCGACGAAGCTTTAACTTCCTGACTGATGTCTTGAGATGTTGCTTCCATTTATTCACATAATTTTCCTTCCTCATGATGCCATCTATTATGTGAAGTGCACCAGTCCCTCCTGCAGCAAAGCACCCCCTCGGCATGATGCTGCCAACCCCGTGCTTCACGGTTGGGATGGTGTTCTTCGGCTTGCAAGCAACTCCCTTTTTCCTCCAAACATAACGATGGTCATTATGGCCAAACAGTTCTATTTTTGTTTCATCAGACCAGAGGACATTTCTCCAGAAAGTATGATCTTTGTCTCCATGTGCAGTTGCAAACTGTAGTCTGGCTTTTTTATGGCGGTTTTGGAGCAGTGGCTTCTTCCTTGCTGATTGGCCTTTCAGGTTATGTCGATATAGGACTTGTTTTACTGTGGATATAGATACTTTTGTACCTGTTTCTTCCAGCATCTTCACAAGGTCCTTTGCTGTTGTTCTGGGATTGATTTGCACTTTTCGCACCAAAGTATGTTCATCTCTAGGAGACAGAACGTATCTCCTTCCTGAGCGGTATGACGGCTGCGTGGTCCCATGGTGATTATACTTGCGTA